ACATTCCTCCATATGATCCTTCAGTGTCGTGACCCACGAAGAGCGTGGCCCTTGGTTGATTGGCTTGCAAGCTTTCGACTAGATATGTCGACGAATGCTGCTTTCAAGGAAAGCTCCAAGATCAATCTGCTCCATCAAACTATCATAGATGCAGGGTGGCATTTCCAACTCGAAAAGCCTATCGTTAAAGATTTTCTGTCACACCTTGACCATCCATACAAGGGCGTCCGCGAGGCGATGGGCCAAACGATTGCAACAATATATCGCACACGGTATCACGAATCATACGCCGATGTTAAGACTCTCCTTGCGGCGCAGGAGGCAGCGTCATCGGTGGGCACATATCCATATCAGCCTACCGAGGAATTCACCAAGATGATATATGATATCTTCAGAGACATTGAAAAGTGGCGGCACGAGAGGACCCCAGGTCAGCAGACGCCATCATCTTATACTTCAGGATGCAAGACAGTGCTTCTCTGGCTGGACTCCACTCTTTCGTCGTATGAGTGCACGCAGTTAGTTCCATTCTTCCCAGACGTGTTCACAGGACAACTGCTGCACATGATGGACGTAAAGGAAGATCCAGAGCTCCAATCATTAGCCTATCATGTCTTCCGACATTTACCCAACATCCCATACCCCGCTGAGCAGAACTCTGGGTTCATCCAGTCCCTCATTCATATAGGACAGACATCACCCTCATGGCATCAGCGTCTACGAGTTATGATTAACATTCAGATCATTTACTTCCGCCGTCTATTCCTGCTTTCCGTCGCTGATAGAGATAAGCTTTTTGAGTGTGTGGCGAACATGCTAGAAGACCCTCAGCACGAAGTGAGAGCTGGAGCATCAGCTACCCTATCTGGCATGATTCGTTGCTCGCCCGTGTTCTTGCGCGAAGAGATGGTTAGCCGGTTCAAACAGCGATTTTCGAAAATCCTGATCGACAATCCTCTCCCAAAACGCCCCAAAATCCTTCGGTCTGGTTTGTCAACCCCGGTTTCATCTGGGGCTGGCACCCCAACACCTGAGCATGCTCGACTCATAATCACGAGACACGGTGCAGTTTTAGGTCTCGGTGCGCTAATCCAGGCATTCCCGTACAATAGTCCGCCGCCCACGTGGATGCCTGAAGCCCTGGCTACATTGAGCGTTCGGGCTGCAAACGACCCAGGCGTTGTGGGTTCGAGTGTCAAATCTATTATTAGCGAGTTCAAAAAGACAAGACAAGATACTTGGCATATTGATGCGAAGGTGGGTAGCTATTCATCGTCGAAAGAAAACGATCTTTTATAAACTAACATTTTTATCTAGGCATTCACTCCAGATCAGCTCGAAGACCTCTCTGGCGTGCTTTGGAAGAGTTACTTCGCTTAGATTTAGGGGGTAGCAGTACAGGCATGTATCCATGACTCGTCCAAGATATACACCACTTGCAGCTTCAACATATTGGTCATTCGGTATGTGCCAGTATGAGAATTGGGGATTATTAGAGCATTCATTTATGAACAATGTTGGATTTGGTGGAGGGACAATTCTTCTTAGGTTGTTGTTTGGTGTGGAAGTTTTGTGTGGTATTCTTTAATCGAGGCACATATACCACACTGCACAGCGACATTCACTCCAAAAGCATTTTATAGCATCTATCGCTACTTAGCAGCCAAAATTGTTCATACATGTAATAAATTCCGGGATATGTGATTAGATAAGCACCGTTCTCCGTGATCACGTGCCACAGCAGCCACGCGGCTCTTCCGCAATCGAAGCTCACCGTCACCAAAGGGGTCTCAGTGGTTAAGACGCTTCTACTCACCTGCCTCGACGCCCATCTCTGGCATCTTTATCATTATTTTACCATTCTAGTGCGTGCACAACTGTGGTACTGTCGCGCAGTTCTATTTCTGTGGTGAAAGGAACCTGCTCCGGGCAGCCTCTTCACCATGGCTCCAAAGGATACCTTCTTCCGTTCGTCGGATATGAGCTTGACCCAGCTCTATATCGCCAATGAAATCGGACGAGAAGTTGTCAGTGCCTTAGGAGAACTCGGTCAGGTCCAATTTAGAGATGTGAGTCGATAATCGAAACCTAGGACAAGTAGCATGATAATAACCTGAGCTGACGTTGACTTGCAAATAGCTTAACCCCGACACTAATGCCTTCCAACGCACCTTTACGAAAGAAATCCGTCGTCTGGATAATGTGGAACGGCAGCTGCGTATGGCTACCCGCGTGGAATAATATGTTCTTAACCCGAAAGGCAACTGACGTTGTGTTGTTCTCTACAGGTTATTTCCATTCTCAGATGGACAAGGCAGGGATCCCAATGCGGTCTTCATCCGAATTCACCGATACATTAGCTGCACCCTTGGCGTCGGAAATTGATGAGCTTGCCGAACGGAGCGAGAGCTTAGAACAGAGGATTGCCTCACTCAACGATAGTTACGAGACACTCAAGAAGCGTGAGGTGGAGCTCACGGAATGGCGTTGGGTCTTGAGGGAAGCCGGTGGATTCTTCGATCGCGCCCACACTCATACGGAAGAAATACGGCAATCGTTTGAAAACGATGAAGCTCCTCTCCTTCGCGATGTCGAACAGCAGTCCCACCGGGGTCAAAACGGCGAAGCCCAAGGTCAACAATCCTTCCTCGAGATGAACATCGGGTTTGTCGCGGGTGTCATCCCACGTGACCGTATCGGTGCCTTCGAACGTATTCTTTGGCGAACTCTGCGTGGTAACTTGTACATGAATCAGTCGGAGATTCCCGAGGCTATCATTGACCCGACGACCAACGAGGAGTCTCACAAGAACGTGTTTGTCATTTTCGCCCATGGAAAGAACATCATCGCGAAAATCAGGAAAATATCCGAATCCCTTGGTGCTTCACTGTATGGCGTTGACGAGAACAGTGAGCTGAGACGCGATCAGATTCATGAAGTGAACACACGCTTGGGTGATGTGGGTAACGTGTTGCGCAACACCAAGAATACACTCGATGCGGAACTTACGCAGATTGCCCGCTCGCTTGCGGCCTGGATGATCATTGTCAGGAAGGAAAAGGCTGTCTATGATACACTCAACAGATTTTCCTACGATCAAGCGAGAAAAACGCTAATTGCGGAGGCCTGGTGTCCAACAAACTCGCTACCGTTGATCAAGTCGACATTGCAGGATGTGAATGATCGTGCTGGCTTAAGTGTGCCTACTATTGTCAATCAGATCCGGACTAACAAGACACCCCCTACCTATGTGCGGACAAACAAGTTCACAGAGGCCTTCCAAACCATCGTCAATGCGTATGGTATCCCGAAGTACTCGGAAGCCAACCCTGGATTGTACACGATCGTCACCTTCCCATTCCTGTTTGCCGTCATGTTTGGCGATTTCGGTCACGGTGCTCTCATGACTCTATGTGCTGTTGCGATGATTTTCTGGGAGAGAAAGCTCCAGAAGACCAAGTTAGATGAACTGACCTACATGGCATTCTATGGCCGTTATATCATGCTGATGATGGGTCTTTTCTCCATGTACACTGGCCTTATTTACAATGATATCTTCTCCAAGTCGTTCACGATTTTCTCAAGTCAATGGAAGTGGCCTGAGATCATCCATCCAGGACAGGCAGTCGAGGCTTCCCTGAAGGGCGACTATCGGTTTCCCTTTGGACTTGATTGGAACTGGCATGAGGCTGAAAACTCTTTACTGTTTACGAACAGTTTAAAGATGAAAATGAGTATTTTGCTGGGCTGGTCTCACGTAAGTCCTTCCATTCAGTTGGTTGTTCACCACAAAAGCTAAACACTCTACAGATGACCTATGCTCTTTGTTTGCAGTATGTCAACGCTCGCCATTTCAAGTCTAAGGTTGATATTATCGGCAACTTCCTTCCGGGAATGATTTTCTTCCAGTCTATTTTTGGGTACCTTGTCCTTACTGTCATCTACAAGTGGTCGGTGGACTGGCCAGCCAGGGGCCAGTCACCCCCGGGTTTATTGAACATGCTCATTTTCATGTTCCTCTCTCCTGGTAATGTTGAGGAGGAACTCTACCCAGGCCAGAGCTCTGTTCAGGTCATCCTATTGCTCCTTGCCGTCGCGCAAGTGCCCGTCATGCTCCTCTTCAAGCCGTTCTACCTCCGCTGGGAGCATAACCGTGCTCATGCTCATGGATACAGAGGTCTTGGAGAACAGTCAAGAGTTAGCGCGCTTGAAGACGATGGCGATATCGATGGCGGACTTAATGGGGGCCGCGACAGCATGGCCAGCGAGGGCGAGGGGGTAGCTATGATTGCCCAAGACCTTGGAGAGGAGGAGCACGAAGAATTCGACTTTTCTGAGATCATGATCCATCAGGTCATTCATACCATTGAATTCTGTCTGAATTGTATCTCTCACACTGCATCATACCTGCGTCTGTGGGCTCTCTCTCTAGCCCATCAGCAGCTTTCGATCGTTTTGTGGACTATGACTCTTGGAGGTGCTTTCGAGCAGGAGTCTCCCACCCTTCGTGTGATTATGATTGTCGTCACCTTCTACTTGTGGTTTACTCTGACAATCGCCATTCTCTGTGTCATGGAGGGAACTAGCGCCATGCTCCATTCGCTTCGTCTGCACTGGGTCGAGGCTATGAGCAAGCATTTCATGGGCGAGGGTATACCATTTGCTCCCTTCAGTTTCAAGGCGCTCCTCGAGGAGGATCCCGTGGACTGATTTGAGCGTCCTGATCCTTCCTTTTCCTTCCTTTCATCTTGGAATATATGTACTCTAGTTCCCTGTGGGAATCAATTAAATTCTAGACGTGAATAGGCTTGTCCATATCTGACCTCGTCTTTATTCCTGCCCTCCTACCCCACCAGTACATTCGTAGACTTAACAAAACTCTTAAAATCCTACCCATTGTAACTACACTTGTAATGTTGGGGTGCTGTAGGAATAGTGTCCGCATACTTTCACTCGACTAAACAAACCGAACGTTGACGGTTGGTTCTCTTGTACTGGAGTATATGTCCAACGGGAATCACCGGGCTAGCTAACTGGTAATAACTTGGAGTCAGGAACATTCAAATCCATTGTGATATTATAGAAGCTAACGGGTGCCATTCAAGGCTGAATATATCTCCGCCCTCTATAAACATACCTAGCGCTAACAAGTGGAATATTTTAGTTATTTAACCGGGGATATCAACTGAGAAGGATTGCACAATTATATAAATTTTCAAATGTTTATTTAAGTATTTATTTAGTTCAGGACGCTTTTCATACATTAAATACCCATGACCATCCACATTAAATACTATCCCGTAGTGAATCACCAGATCTCTCGGGTACAAGCCGGCCACATACAGGCCAATAAATTGCCAATTTATTTCTTGTACTTGTTATACGTGTCAATGATCTTCTGGACCTCATCCTTCGAGCCGAGGAATACACCACTCTTATCGTGGATGTGCTCAGGGACAACGCCTAGAAGGCGCTCCATGCGCGAGTTCACAGCGAGACCACCGGCGTTCTCAAACAGCATAGCCATGGGTGCGCACTCGTACAAAATACGCAGCTTACCCTTGGGGGCTTTCTTGTCGGCCGGGTAAGCGAAGACACCACCGTAGAGCAGCGTCCGGTAAGCATCAGCCACCATGCTACCGATGTAACGAGCACTGTAAGGCTTCTGGCCCTCGGGGGGAAACTTCAGTGAGTGGAAGTAAGCGTTGGTCCACTCCTCCCAGTAGCTGCTGTTGCCCTCGTTGACGGAGTAGATGGCGCGCTTGGTGGGAAGGGTCATGTTAGGGTGGGTGAGGATGAACTCGCCCAGGGAGTTCTCCAGGGTGAAGCCGTTGACGCCGCCATTGCGCATGGTGATGACGAGCTGGGCGGAGGCACCGTACATGGTGAAGCCGGAGGCGACCATCTCGGTACCGGGAAGGAGGATGTCCTTGGGGGAGACCTTGTTCTCGGGTCCCAGGACGGAGTCGGGCAGCTTGAAGATACCGAAGATGGTTCCTACCGAGACGCCAGCGTCCAGGTTGGAGGATCCATCGATGGGGTCGCAGACGACTGCGTAACGGGCGTAGGGGTGCTCGTCGAAGATGATTGCTTCTTCTTCTTCTTCGGAGACGAGGATACGGCATTTCCCTGAGCCGCGCATGGCGGAGATGAAGACATCATTGCCGATTACGTCGAGCTTCTTCTGGTCATCGCCTGTGGTGTTTGAGGAGCCTGCCAGTCCAGTCAGGTTGATTAAGGATGCACGACGGATGTAGTAGGCGATGGACTTGAAGGAGAATTGAAGTGCGTGGCAGAGTAGTCTGGAGGGGTAGTCATGAAAGATTAGTTCCACTTTCCAGCACTGATTCTACTGGGGCTAGGGGCTTGAACGTACGTGAAGTCACCAGTGGCTTCTGGCACCTTCGTTTGTTCCTCCGTCAGGAATCTTGTGAGGGTGACAATGTCTGTGTTGATGTTCTCCTGTCCCACGGGGGGAGCACTGTTGTTCTCGTGTCCGGACATGATGCTGATGTTGATGTTGATTGAGATGTTTGTTTTTCTTAGCACAGAGGGGATATGCGCATATAGTTCAGGAGGGGAGATCAAGTGGTATTGGGCCGCAATGGACCGGTTTAAAGTAATGCGCAACCTCGGTTCAACGGAGAAAGCAGGAAGACTAGGGCACCAATGGATGTGAGGTGATAATGGCCGGGTTAACAAGTGAGGAGGGGTTTTTGTTTTATGTAGGATTCGAGTACGTAAGTTGAGAGTATACTAAACTGGAAGACTTTAAAGAGTAGAGGGGATAAGTATAAGTATAAATAGTATCATCGTATCATTTTTAAGATCATCGTCCAAAGGGTCATAAGAGCAATAATATTTTGCCGGTGGAGACCAAGTTGAGTAAGGAGAACGTCAGGATCACTGACAATACGGAGATCTAGTACATTGACGCAATGCGGTTACGGATCCCATACAAACGTGGCGGTTTTCGTCATTCTTCCTCTTCCCCCCCCCGCAGTCCCCGCCGCTCTTCTTCTTTCCCGGCTTTTCCCTGTTTTATTCTTGTCCGCCTCCGATTCCCCCCGCAGTAAAAGAACCGGTACTACGGAGTACTACGTATGGAACTAAAAGTAAGAGGTTCGATCGACTATGATTCTGGATCTCCAATTTTATGATATCAACGATTCAATACTGGTCAGTAATTTAGAAACTAATACTCGGTATGGTCATGTACCAGGTAAGGATCTCTTATCAGCGACACAATGCAATTGAAACCCATATTTTTGTCCAAAAGAAATGCCGCATGAAAAAAACTGATAGCTCTGGTCTGCGCTGTCGTGTCGTGCAAATTAAATCTATAGCCGGAAGTGGATATCTCCTGGTCAGCAGACGCGACAATTTTTGATCGCCCACGTCAAACTATTATTGAACTATTCGAGTCTCGGCCGTTCTGTGAAGCAATCCTCTCTTTCTTGTTCGGGTTTCTTTCCTCCGTCGATCGCACCCTTTTTCAGGTCAGCTGACTACCACGATCGGGCTTATCTAAGCCATTACCTACTCACACCTCGTGACTTGTTGCTATCTAACCGGATTAGGCCTCGGTAAAATTAGCTCCGGTGTGAGAGCAGCTTGAAAAAGTTCGACGCGCTATTTCTTTTTCTTTTTAGAAACTTCACCTTTCCACACAACGGCAACAAACAACAACAATTCTGGCTGATGGTTGTTCACCTGAAATGGTTGGGCTGTAACATGCATCAGACCTAGTATAAACAAACAAATATAATTGCTCAATGATTTCATACGCCCATATTGGGTGTGAACTAATCACTAGCAACAACTTGCAACGCATGATACTCTCTTTTGGTAAGTCCACCCTTGCTGACTTTTTCTCTACTTTTATTTTCTTCCATATCCATCTTTCATCATGATGTAACCTACAACCATTTACAAACTAGAGTCTTTGACCTACTTGGCATGAAAACTCGGTTTTTGCACGTCAGTCTGATCTGCTTGCAAAGAAAGCTTTCTGCTCACTTGCCTTTCAAGATGAAAGCACGTTGCTGACTTGATATCTTGCAGGCCTAACAATAAAATGACATGCGAAAAGCAGAGGATTGGATCTTGAATTGCACTAATGGTACGTACCGACTCTGGTTTTCTTTTTTGTATTACCCCGTCTAGCATGATGCTTCACAACAACATATACGCTGGAAATTACCGACTGAGACCTTCGGGTTGTTGGCGATAACTCTTATGGCACATTTCTGATCTGCTACCTAATCGATTTTTTTGATCTCTCATTCGCACATGTGTGATTGAATGCTGACTGTCAAAAGAGTTCCAGCAGGCGCCTAGTAACGCACTTTGAGAGTGCCGTGGGTTTCAGATCCATAATTTAGATGGTAAGAATCGGCCATTCTATTTCCCTACACCTTTTCGAAGATGAAACGGCACTGGGCTCCGACGGCGTTCGACAGACGACCGGTCTTGATGGATATGCCTTTTTTGCGGCAGGCCTAGAAAACCTCGCCCACTGAGATAATACAATCACACATATATGTTGATCCTGCAAGACTTGAGCCTGAGGCTAATGGTCATGGATAGTGTCGCGTACTACGCTATGTATAATATATCAAAACTCCTTAGCTAAAAGGTAAATATTAACTTGTCTCATACCCCCTAATCCTCACATGATGATTTCCTAGATGACGAGTCTTATTCGAGTTATCGATGCTGACACCATCTTTTTTTTACCATTCATGCATTTCTGACTTACACATTTGGAACAAATATCAATGGAGTTTCCGTGAACGTTGCTGACTTTGTTTCCATGTGCAGACAATCAAGACTTCTCTAACCTACCCAGACCTTTGGTCTTGTGGTTCGCAGCAAGCAAGTTACTTGTATGTAGTCACCTCGCCCCGACTCCAGTTCTTTTCGACATCATGATGAATCGACATTAAAACAAATGACAAGCATATGTCCAAGTCAGCATTGCTGGCCAGGACGACAACTGTCAGGACTGATTAGTCAACAATTTGTCTTCGTCTGTCACAGCCTTGAAGCAATCGAAGCTGATTGTATGCGCAGATTGTGTAGATCGCATACAAAGAACGCCTCGCCTCAGCCAACGAATGTTGGCTGGGCATGGATCAATTGATGTACGTTGAATCTACATTTCCTTGAGTCACCCTGCATTGGTACATATTCAATGATGATTTTCTTTTTATTTTAATCACGACGGTCAACATAATCAAATACATTGATGACCACCGCCTGTGACAGGGCATTTAATCTGAAATACCCTCCATCAGTTTGATTTGTCAGTTTTCGGGAGTTACTTGTTCCGGTGCTGACTCTGGTTTTAGTGACTTCGATGTTAGCATGGGGCAGTTTGATAAGAGAAGGCCATACCGCCACTCAAGCTTTCTTGGTTCATTGGTCATTAACCCAGGTGAAAGAGCCTTTTGCCGGTTGGGCGTATCCATAAGTTCGTGGCAAGGTTTAGAATATACAGTAGTTGAAGTTTAGCAATACTCAAAATGAACAAGATCTGCTTCTCATAACTGGACTCTTTATCTTTCCGTGTAGGCGCTGATGACCCGAACAAAAACAAGGTACTATAGCACCCAGATTATGTGATGACATGATTCATTTCTTTTGCGTGTTCTTTCCCCCTGGCCCTGAGACGCAACGCAACAATCTGGGATGTTTCAAAAGACTGCAAGCTTGGTTCTAAATACAGGACCAATCTAACAAGATGTGATGAGGACTCTGGTTTGCTAGGGCGGCATGGGAAAGCCGGGGTATTTGGCCAGTGAGCGGCCGCAGATCCCGTGCCCTAAGCGCCAACAGGACGCCGGCCGTGATGAACTTCCCAGGCTGCAGTTCACTAACTATACTAGTATCCATGCCCCTCTCGTGTCTGAAGAGTCTTGTCTCTTCCAGATTCCACTCGGGTGGCCCCAGACGGCCAAGTCTTGGGCGTGTTATTTTTATCTCAGGTGGATCCGTCGCGTTATCCCCGTCAAACGGCCGAATTGTCTACTAGGGAGATGCAGGCCTCCGCCACCACTGGTTGGTCTACAGAACGTGTTGCAAAGAATAGAAATCTGCATTTCTCTCTGTCCTTCTCGTTGACCTGTCACGTCTGGTAGGCTCGGACCTTCCTTTTGCTCCTCGTCCTAATTTTACAGCTGCGCACGGGTTTTAGCCATGGCTTCACGTTCGGTTGGCTCTTAATCTCTTCGGCAGTATGAATAGGTGCGCGGACCCCTCATACCCATGAGACTGTCCCTTTTCCCTTGAAGTGATCTGCTTCCAGCGTCTCGCATTACTGACTGCGAGTTGAAAGTAGCTGGTGGCCTCCAAATAACGTTAGCGACGAGCCGGCGTCCTGGCCAATACCTCATGCCAGTACTAGCCATCAGCCATCCCCTAGCCGTCGAGAACATGCTCTGCGGCCGCCGCCTTTGACAACGACTTTGAGTGGTCCTCAGTTTCATGGGCTAGGTGTCGCGCTCGGTGGAAACTACTCGTCGACACCTCTGTCAACGACCTCCTTATCAAGCCCGTTCACACAAGGCCAGTCTCCGGCCACTAATACCCCGGGAGGCGTTGGAACCGGGTCATCATCGATGGCCTCCAGGCAGTATAATGTTCCTTACAATCCTCAGGATTGGGGGCCGGTGGGCGGTTCAGGGCAATCTACTTATCCGCAAACAAATAGCATGACTCGAATCATTTCACAGTCGCGACAAGCTGGGTCTCATGCAGGTCTGTTAGGCCCTCTTTTTTTCATTTTCCATTTTAATTTTCATTTTCCCTTTTGTTTTTTTTTTTTTTACCGAACCATTGTATGTCGCCACGGATACCTGGGTCCCTACCTAAACCCCAAAAGGTCTTTTATCAAGACATGCTTAACATGATGCATATAGATGCCTCCCTCTCGCCTCCGCCGCCGCCATACTCGCCGCCAAGCCAGCAGCAACATCATTCCCCAGATAATGTTAACCATAATACGTCAGGCAGAGACTCAGCATCTCCAGGAGCGGTATCTTCGTATAATGGAGCAATACATGGCAATACTGATGCCACCGTGGAGTATCGACAGCGCCCCATTCCTCGCACCCGTCCGCTGTCCATGGTCCATATGGGCGACACAGGCCAGAATAGATATGTATCACTTCCGCCACCTCCGCCATTGTCACAAGGAGTGTCGTCTTCCAGATCATCGTCCCAACATAGAGCTGATGTGTATCAAGGACAAAGTTCACTGAACACAGGATCGGGGCCCTATAATATGGTTTCTCAACAGGACAATCTACATCCGTCACAGTCGAGTAATTATGATTATATGGCGACCACTACCCAACAGGTTGATCTCACGCGGCCTCCGACCTCCAGGCGAGCCGTTTCTGCAGGCCCCGTTGTGAATAGCGCAGGTACGTCCCGAGCTGCAAGCCAGCCTCGGAGTGGCTCCCCCTTAGGACGTGGGTGGGAACCTGGTATGCCTCTTCCACCACCACCCCCAGGCCCTCCACCTACTACAAGATCACAGAGTGTCAGTGGTCTGTCCGATATAACGTCTTTGCGATACTCGCAGGCTCAGCCAAGGATCAATAGAACTCGACCGCCCCCAGTGCTGGGAACTGGCTTGGATAGTATTCCCCCGACTCCAGCTGGCTGGGTGGACGAAGGACTCGCAGTGACCAAGCAAAGAAACCAAGCACCCCTTGTTATTAACACGGCGAACATCCCGGGGCCTCGCGTTGAAGCCGGTGGACCTAAATCTCATGCGCCTCAAAGCTCCACTAGCAATTGCCTATTTCGCAGCCCGGCTCTTCGAGACCCGAACGCCAAGGGGATCCGAGAAAGGCGAATCGAGCGCAGGAACCGACAAAGCCACGTTTTTGATGACTTCACCGCAGTATCGACCAACGGTAACCCGTGGGCTGATGCCTTGGACCAAGTAAAACCGTCGAATCTAGTCCTTGAAGACGCAAATGCTATTCCTGATAGTACACGGAACCAGACATCTACAAGAGCTACCCCTAGGAGTAGTCATAGCTTAGGATCTGATGGGCAACATGTCACCTCACGGCCTAGAGCCTCATCGACTGGACTGTTTTCAAATCCATCTTCTTTTTCGACTCCAAGAGGCGAGCCCAGCCCTCTTGGACCGACTCGTGGGTTTGCACATACTCCGCCGTTCTCCCCGGGTGGTGAGAAATCATCGGGATACTCCAAGACGGCCCCGCAGGCCGTTCCCCCAAAAGCTCTTCCGACTCCTCCATTGCAATCTGGGCAAGACACAGGGCCATCTTCTCGACCTAGCTCGAGGGAGGACCGACCAGTCTCTCATTTATTACACTTGCCCAATGATACTCTGCCTACGGTTTCAGCATTAGCCCCACGCAGAGTCCCATCGAAAGGCCCCTCTTTGGATTCTGTTGTCAAACAGGATATGGAGTTTGTTCAGAACGCCATACAAAGACACAAGGCCTTTATAGAAAAGGAAGCAGGCGCTACAGATGAAGCGGATGCTCTGAGAATTTTCACGGAGTTTATAGTCTCTGAGTCCCAGATCAGGCGTGAGAGATACGCTAAACTATGGGACTCTGGCTCGTTGGATATCGAAACTGTGCGCCATAGATTATTTGAAACACCTCCAAAGTCCCAGGCTTCGCCTGCACCGATCTCTAGGCGGCCGTCCAGGGGTGCTCCGAGGCTCGATATGCCCCAATCACGTCCTGAATCCGCTTGGTGGAACAATTATCAACCATGCTTGTCACCAATAGCGAGTCTTAGTATGAGCAATGATGGAATGAGCTCCCGGGGGCGTGCACCAAGTCGTTGGTGGGAATCAAAATCAAGCAGCGAGGGAGGCGAACGAAGAATTGAGCGTTCAAAGCGTGAATCTAAATATATGGGTTTGCCTCGCGAATCTCTTCACTGGCCCCAAGGACGAGATTCTGTAGAAGGCAAAGGTATGAGCTATGCATCTGGGTCGCTCGATCAATATCCAGCTTACGGCCCGGATGAATACCCACCTGAGAAGGTTGGTTGGCACGAAGAGCCAGCCTCGTCGGATTATTCAAGTACGGTTGGGCACAATAACCCCGGATATATCAAGGAAACTCACAAAATGGATGTTTCGAGGCTGATTACTCTGCCACCACCTTACCCTCGGCACCATCCGGCTGTCAACAATAGCCACCCAGATCTTGTCAACTATCGAACTCTAGTTCGATCGATTAGTGATCTCTCGGTTGTCAAGTCTACCAGAGAACGGCATCAGTCGGAGATCAAGAGTTTGAAGCAAAACCACCAGGAGAGGATGCAGGACGGCCGCCGATGCTTTAAGGCCAATATACAGAGCCAAATCGAGCAGGGCAGTATTAGTTTCGCAGAAGCCGCAGAGGCGGAGGCCGCGCTGATTATGGAAGAGAATAATCTTGCGAGAGAGCTGTCAAAACAAGAGCTGGACGGCTACCAAGAATCAGTGCTAAAGCCGATGCATGCAATTCTCTCAGAACGAATCAACAAGGCTACTGCGTCCATTGATGAGTTACAGAGCAAGTTGTTCGATGACGCTCAGAATGAAACTCCCGACCAGGCCCAGGAGGAAGGAGATGAAAAGCCTGAACTGCTAGAGAAACTCACGCAACTCAAATGGCTATTTGAAGCTCGAGAGCAATTATATCGCGAAACCTACGACCTAGTCAGTGACCGGGATGAAAAGTACAAGGCCGTAGTCATACTACCTTATAAGCAGAATGCGAACGAGGAGAAAGTGCGAGAAACGAATAGCTTCTTTGCCAAAGATGCCTTGAACCGCCGTGTTAACCACGAGGCAAGCACATTGGCTCGGCTTGAATCCTTTTTAACTGTGATTGAAGAGAACGTGGTTCGAGGGGTCGAGATACAACTGTCCGCCTTCTGGGATATCGCACCATCCCTCCTCACTCTGGTTCAGCAGATTCCCATGAGCCTGGCCGGGTTTCAGGTCCAGATTCCTACCAATGAGTATGATGAAAATCCCAGTTACCAGAATCATCCTTTGCAATATCTCTATACTCTTCTTTCACATGCGGAAAAGTCTAGCTACCAATATATCGAATCACAGACCAACCTCTTTTGCCTCTTGCACGAGGTTAAATCTGCTGTCATGAGAGCAAATTGCAAGCTTATGGTGGCTGAACGCGTCCGATCGGGAGAGGACGAAGACCACGTTCTGCGGGAAATACAAGAGGCCCGTGCGGATGAGGAGCGGTCTTTGACGCATGACCTAAAAGATAAGGTCTCTACAGTGGAAGGTCAATGGACTGAGGCCCTGGGAAGTGCCATACAAGGCTTACGAGACCGTGTGAAAGAACAGCTTATGGATGAAGACGGATGGGAGGAACTGGAACAATTGCAGGAGTGATGGACGTTGGACGAGTTATGTGTGATGACCATATTACCCTGATGGAGATTTTGCTCCACTCTTTGATTTAACTTACTTTGATTTGCTTTGCTTTATGTTGTTCTGTTGAAGATACCCAAATTATTCGTTCGCTACTGTGTTGATCAAGTATGTACATGACAGTCATAACGATTGAACTATGTACTGTACTTTTTATGTATGTACTTAGGGTTGGCTTACCAATTTCATAGGTTATGCGTTCCGCCGCCCCCACTCGAGACTAGCGCCACACGTGACCATGGTTACCTTCTAGAGCTTTCCTTCCGAGTCCTTTTTTTCTCTTTCGCCTTCAACTTCGGTTGAGGGGATACACTGTATTATTTAAGTAAACTCCGGTTCCCCAACTCCACCGTGGTACCTCCCTTTCTATTGTTCCCTTCTCTACCGCATTGGACCTGGTTGATCTACTTTTTTGCAGCGTCTTAGATTTGAGACGTCGTACCGTAAAACTGTGAGTACCCCAATTCCTCTCTTATCCCCCCCTGCAGACTTTTTTTTTTCCCACCCACAAAAACCTCGTCCAACTACCCCACCGTTGGATAGGGTCTGCCCCTCGATGATGAGATTATATAGCTGGCACCAGTCAGAGAAAAGATGGATTTCGATCCATCTTTTGTGTTGATTAGCTCCCGGTCCGGGAACGCTACCCAGGATCCCTGAGAAATACCTTTATACACCTCGTCTTGTATGCATCAATTAATCTTTCAGACTAGATGTACTGACTTGGACTTTACAGAACCTAGCATTGGAACAGTCTTAAAAGGAAAGACCTCTCATCCATCCATTCGGGTTTGGGTGTCTTTTTGTCAACCCTGCAATAGAGAAGATTTTCCTTTTTTTTTTTTTATCTTTACATCAAGACCCACTAGCAGTTCATAATAAATTTATTTAAAATACCAACATCATGGTTCTGCACAACCCCAACAACTGGCACTGGGTGAATAAGGATGCCTCCGGATGGGCCAAGGATTACCTGAAGGGGAAGCTTTGCACGCTTTCCGCCGAGGAAAATGGTGTTACCGCCAAGATCTCCAACCTCCTGTCTATGGATGGCGACGTAGACGTCAGCCAACGAAAAGGCAAGGTCATCACCTTGTTCGATGTCAAAGTACAGCTAGAGTATGAAGGTTCGTGAACGTATTGTGTGCTTCCCTTGTCCGGGGCACAACTAAATTCCTGCACAGGTAAGACCAAGGACGAGGAGTCCGTTAGCGGTACTATCACCATCCCCGAGGTTGCCCACGACACAGAGGAAGACGAGTATGTTGTATGTTCCCTTTCTCCCTCTCAGAGACGGCCAACTGGGGATGGTAGTGCTGACACTTCCTGTCTGCTGTAGTTTGAGATTGATATCTACTCTGAATCCTCTTCCAAGCAGCCGGTGAAGGACCTCGTGCGGTCGAAGCTTCTGCCCCAACTCAGACAAGAGTTGGCTAAACTTGCACCCGCCCTGATTACCGAGCACGGCAAGGATATCCAGCATGCCCCCGGTGAGAACCCATCTAAGGGTTTTACCGCCCCGACCTATCACCCTCAAGCTAAGAAGGACACACCTGCTCCCAAGACAACCACTACTACTACGGGCGGCAAGGTCGCTGTCAACACTACTACCGTGATTGCCTCGGATGAGTTCCGTACCACCGCTGAGGAATTGTACAGTACCTTTACAGACCCCCAGCGCATTGCTGCTTTCACCCGCGGAGCGCCTCGTCAGTTCGAGGGTGCTCAGGTTGGCGGAAAGTTCGCCATTTTTGATGGCAACGTCACCGGAGAATATACTAAACTAGAGAAACCGACTCAGATCGTGCAGAAGTGGCGTTTGGCCCAGTGGCCCGAGGGTCACTTCAGCTCCCTCGAGATAAACTTTGATCAAAACGATGTCGACGGCGTTACCCAAATGCGTGTGTCTTGGACTGGAGTCCCCGTTGGCCAGGAGGATGTCACCAAGCAGAACTGGGAAATGTACTATGTTCGCAGTATCAAGCAGACTTTCGGGTATGTTTCCCCTCCATGCATTGTCTCGTAGCCAAATCTTCCTTACCATGGCTCCCAGTTCTCGTTTTCAAGCCTGGAGGCAGTTGCTGATGTCGCTCTTCGTACTTCTTTTTGCTATAGGTTTGGCACTATCCTCTGATCTCGTGCGACCACCTTTAGAAGCTTAACGATTCGAACGCCGCGTGGGGTAACAGATGACCTGAATTCTGCGATCAACGCGTCCTGTAGGGGCTGTCCTATAAATGTTTTGGGTCGACTTGAATAGCGTTCTTGGAAAGCAGACACTCTGTACCTCAGATCTGTGCCTTTTGTGATACACCTTCCCCTCTTACATTCGAGGGTATGGTTCGACGATTCCACGATAGAATTCCATGATTAGATCAATGTAAAACGAATCAATAACGAAAATTCACGGTTGGATGCACATTATCTGTCTGTATGGCATTGGATTACTACACTTATTATAAATCGAACTTTTCCTTAACCCTTTTTGAGTATATCTCTAACCCTTTATAAACATTTTAGATCGTTAAACAGTTCAATCGTATACGCCCTAAAAGGGAGTTTACAGAGTCCTTTCAATCATCTCAATGCCGTACTCCTCCTTAAGAGTCTTAACGAGGGGAGCACAGATGTCCCAGGTCATGGGAGCAATGACACCCTAAGAACAGATTGTCAGCCGAGCCATCATCTAACATGGCCTCGGAGCTGGGCAATAAATAAAGAACGTACCTTCTGGTTGATAGTGCCATCAAGCACCAACTGGACAGCAACACCACAGGGGACACCGACAGTCTTAGCCATAGCAGAGTAACCACCGATCACACCATACTCGCACATGGTGCTGGTGCGTGTCTCCTTGGAGCCATCCTTGTGCTCGATCTCGAACTTGTGCTGCAACATAACCATGTCACGCTCTTCAGGGCCGTACTGCATCTTCTTCTCGAGGGTGGCACAGAGGGTATCAAGAGGGTTACCGCGGGGGATGATCTGCTCGTCAGAGAATATCCCGATCCAGCGGAGACCCGCGATGAGGCGGTTGCGCTCCTCGTTGTTCGCGAAGGAGGTCTTGGAGGCGATGGCCCACTCGAGGTCCTTCTCGGTAGCCGTCGTGGCGCCCAGGATCTGCTTGGTGGCGTCCTTCCAGGCGATGGGGGAGTTGAGAAAGTCGGCGGGCTCATCGCTCAGGAAGCCGATGTCGACCAACACCTTAATCATCTCAGGGAAGCCCTGGTAGCGGAGAGTACCACGGACGATAGTCTTGGCTTCGGGGATGTTGTAGCGCTCACTATAGGGAGTCGAGTCACGGTTGGGGTACGCAACGAAGGCGAAGCCAGGGTAGATGTAGTAGGGCTTGGCGGTAGCCATAAGGTCGGGGCCGGCGACGCTGACTTCCTGGCCGTCCTTGTAGAACTTGGCAGCGTTACGGAGAGCGAGAAGGACACCACGGCTGGACCAGGAGAACTTGTAACCCAGAGGGTTGTCGGAGCATTCAGGGGCGGGGAGACCACCACAGTAGGAGAGGAAGGAAGTGATCTTACCACCCTCCTTGTGGACCTGTTGTTCCAATGTTTTTAGCAGCGATTCGGAGCCTATCATAGTATATTTAGATGAAGCCTACCTCATCAATAGTCTTGACAGCGTACAAGTGGTCAATACCCTAATTGCAGGTTAGTCAAGATTGTAAGCTAATGCGCAAATGTCACCCGTCGGAGAGTAACGTACAGGGTCCAAGCCAATCTCGTTCATGACTGTAATACCGGCCTTCTTGCACTCCTCGTCCAACTCGAGCATTGCGGGAGAGACGTAAGAAGTAGTAACAACATGCTTCTTGGTGCGGATAGCGGACTTGATAACAAGGGCGTGGAAGGTGTAAGGGATCAAGGAGATAGCAAGGTCGACCTGCTCGAGAGCCTTGTCGAGAGCGTCGGCATCGTTGACATCCAAGGCAATGGCTGTGGTGTTCTTGAAGCCCTCAGCGAGCTTTTGGGCGCTTTCGAGGGTACGGCAAGCTATAATGTAGTGTAGAAACCAGACATTAGAGACCCTATAACTTTAAGACGTCGTTTGGGATTTGACCGGAGAGTATGGTGGTCACGGTCTCTCGCCTCCGCCGATGCGACAGTGGAATAATGATGAAGATATGGAGAGGGGAGGCCCAAGTGAAAGGGTGCGTCAAAGTTACATACCGACGGTGACGTGAACATCTGCTTTGCTCAGAACCTCAACAGTGGGCTTGGTAACTAAGAATCAGTTAGTCATTGAGCTCAATGCGGGGCTCCTCATAGTTCGGAATGATAGATATATGAAGAACGGAGTCCAATGCGATGGGAGACTGACCGAAACCCGAGCCCAGAAGGAGGACCTTGGAACCAGCGACCTGACCAGGCATTGTGACGATTAGGGAGAGGAATAGGAGAGTAGTAGTAGTAGTAGTAGTAGTAGTAGTATGTGTCAAAGGTTTGAGAAGGAAAAGAAAGAGAATCAGTTATCTTGCTGGGGTTCTTCCCCGCCGGCAGTTGTGTGATGACTCAGTCACGTGGATCCACCTGGGGACGGCGGTATCGGAGGTGTGGATTATCATATTAACTAAAAGTATGTGCTTATCGCCTGAGAGTGATGTGGATTGGCTCTATGTTTATTATATATGGATGTATGCGCTTCCCCAAAAGAAAATGCAGCGGTGGGTAATGAATGACAAAAACTTGAGACATGGATATCAGTCTAACGATCAGTACCAAAGGAGCGAACTCCAAACTCCGTATGTTCCAATGCTTGTTGGGCCTGGATTCCTCAGGCCAGGGGTGGTATAGTTGGTGCTTTACAAGCCCTTGACCTTTGCACTTGGACTTAAGACTCGGTCGCTCAAACCGTTTTCAGATGATCCGACAGCATCGCCATCGAAATCGCCTTCCGCATCCGGATTCTTCCTCGACTTCGAAACCCTTCTCTGCCACCCCAGCAGGACTGGCAGGAAGTGCCACAGATCGAATTCAGGCCAGAGGACGTCAAGAAAGACAAGATCCGTGTCCTCATCACATTGCCAGAGCATAAAGTCGCTAAGGCGCTCCACTCCAGAGGTGCGGATCAGCAAGTCCAGGGGTGGGTTGTCTTTCGTGTGTAAATGGTCTGATAAGGTTTGCCGTGTGATGGTCTCTGGTGACAAGAATGCTGGGTTTTCCGACTCGGCGCTAGCTCCCTGAATTGCCTTCTTTGAATTCGCACTGTCCTGGTGGCCAGCGAGATCGAGGGTGGTAGACGATGAGAAGGCAGATCCGGTCTCATAGACCTTATTCGGACGATCGTGTTTCGCAGCTTCTTCTTCTCCCTGGGCTGAGGATTCGGAAGCAGATTCAATATCGCTACCTGTATCCTCGGTTTTTGTAATTTGGTTCCGTGCTTGGATATTAAGCGCAATATGGCTCTCAGAAAACGGCGTTCGTAGGGATGAGGAGCGTGGTCTTAGTGGTTGGCTGTAGTCTGCAACGGTGTCACGGATAGCACTGGTGATTTCGTCGCGCGATGTATACGGGAAACAGATGTTGAGGACCCGGTCGCCGTTGGAACTTGTCATTTCCATCGCCCGATTCACCGCTTTGAGAACGTCAGGTCTGAGCAAGTCCAACCGACCCAACACCCGGACCTTTGCGCCATATCGGTCAAGGATCTCTCCATGCTGTGCCATCTGTGACAACTTCACCCTAGCCATTTCCATCAGAGCATCCACCTCGAACTTGGAACGTTTGAAATTTTCGATACTGAAGGCGTAGATTGTGACAACTTTGACTCCACTTCTGTAGCAGACCTCAAGAATCTAGTTGTGGGATGCCGTTAGTATTTGTATCATGCACCTAGGATTCAGCCGCGGGCAACATGTTCGGAGATCGCAAAGGACCGTGTGATGTAGAAGACCAGCTAGGCAATCGCCAGATCCAGAAGAGCGGCGGAAAGGAATTAAAAGAACAAGATGATAAGAATAAAAAAAAAAGGAAGAAGAAGAAAATCAGCGCTTACCCTTGCCAGCGCCTCAAACCCCAGATTGTGTCCCTCCACTGTCTCAATTCCGTGTGTCCTTGCAAACCTTCGGTTTCCATCCATCACGAACGCGATATGCTGTGGAACTGGCCCCTGCTTAATTGCTCCAATCAACAGGTCTCGGAGTTTCGATATAGCCATCTCGATGGGCGGGGATGCAAGGAACCATTTCCGGAGTTTTGACAGGTGCATTGACGTCGCCATTTTGGTGAATTAAAATATGAGGACGAACTAACGAACTAGCGAAGACCTTGGGAGCTAATGGGGGCAAATGAAGGAAAACTGTGGTGAGAGTCGTTGCCAACGAAGTCGATAGTTCTCAGGGGCCAAAAGTGAACGGTCTCAAGGGTAAGGTTGAGCGGCAACAGGTCTCCGGGATCCTAGAGTCCACACCGGTTAACTAGAGACGGCGCGAGATGGAGATCCTCTGTTGTAGGGCTGTGTTCATCAGGCTGCACTGTTTCCTTTCACCACATGCAAAAGTTTTGTTCTAATTTTGGTTGGCGAAAGTGAACAGTGCGTGGACACAGACGACTGAGCGGTAATTCCCCGAGCCAATCAATTTGGGAGACCAATTGAAGCCAGCAGGAGTGTGCTCAAGCAGGAAAGGATACTTCATGGACTGTGATTTGGGAGACGTAACCTTCAAGAACGCTGGTGGGTCGGAAATCCATCTCATCGGTCCGTCTCCTGTGGCCCACGTGTAAATTTAATTACCACCCGAATTACTGTACGGAAACAAAACGTCCCGCCCAGGTTGACCGAGGATCGAGGAGATTAACTGCAATATCATAAAGTCAGTCAAATTAATTATTCTTTATATATATATATATATCTCCAACGGTTTCTACAGTTCAGATACTGGGTATTCAGCTGTTTAGCCCTTCCCTTGTCAAGGAGCGCTCAAACGTTCAATACGAGAATCAAAACGCCAAACACCGCCGCCACCGTATAGTAAACTGAAGACTTGTCAGAAGCAGACGTGTCTGCTACATTAAATATCCTTTCGGCTCTCTTCGCTGTAAGGTGTCCCTGGACCAGAGCTAGCCATGTCCCAGCTATTGCTGTCTTCGCTGTGCCGGCGCCGGCGCTGTTCACCGCGCAGCCGCATGGCGTCTCGGATCTTTGAACTAACCTGCTCAAAACCATCACTTGACGTAAGCTGGCTAAGTGGCTTCAATTGTTGCCCAGACGAACCAGGCCGACCTCCAAATGAGCTACTGCGGCTGCGACTACGGCTTGAGGGTCGGGTGGAGAAGAAGCCGATGTTTGCAAGGTTATGGAATGACTCATTGCGGGGAAGAGGCTCTTGTGAGATGGAGCCTCGTTCAAAGTCTGTGGTGGCAGTTCTCCTAATCTCTGGAATAGAAGCAGGCTCGCCGTCGGCCTTCTCATCCGGCTTATTGATCTCGCGGAAAGGATCGGTAACGATCCTCGCAGCATCAAAGTCAGGGAACAATTCCGGTCCCAATGTGTTGATGGCATCTGTAACCTGTTGCGCAAGGGCTGCACGCTTCTGGCGAAGTTTCACCAGAGAGTTGGCAGAGGACGGATTCAAGGACAACACGAGTGGCCTCAGGGATTTCAGTATATCCATGCCAACCTCTCCGATGCGAAGGGCCGCAAAAGTGATAGTAGGGAACAGAACCATACCAATGGGCACAATCAGCCACAGCGGCATCCATTCGGGGACAGTGTTTTGAATCCGGTTATGGTAGGCCCATATGGTGAAACCCACTGTATAGAACGCGTAGAGAGCTGGGGCAAACGCAAGGGCAACGAGGAGTTTCCAGGTCGCCATAACATCTCGCCCCTGTAGCTTGACTGTAGAGGCAGCTAATGCCTCTTGAGATTTCTGTTTGGAGATGACCTTGGTTGTAATGAAGACAGGAGTGAAGAGGAGCAAGCCAGGCAATGTTCCAATCGTAAGAAGAGATAACTTGAGTAGGCGAGATATCAAAGTAAAAATTACTTTGATGAAAGAAAATCTCGCATATCCAACCTGATGGTCGCGTATTCCCAGAAGGCGTAGCTCTCGATTATACTCTGCAATAGACTTCCGCAGATGCACGATTCGCGGGTCATCTTTAAAATGCGTATATCCTTTCACAAGGCGTCGGTTGAGTTCAACAACCATGGGAAGCGGGAGCTTCTTCCCTTTGGTATTGTATAGGCGACGGGCAGCTTGAATAACCTAAGGATTCATTAGCGGTTAATATATAACTTGAGCAGATAATCACCCCACCATTAACGTCTCGTAGTCAGGACTCGTCACAGTGACCGCAACCAGGCCCTGATATATGGTGTCCAAGAGAGCACCAACAGCTTCTCTTTTTTCTCCTCTTTTGAATTGCTCGACTATCTCCCGTGGGATTTCAATGGGATTTCCAAACTCAATAACTGCACGCGAGCGGAACTTATGGGCATGGAAATAATTCATTCCACAGGGCACGATCTTTAAGCCGCAGTCGGGATTATCTGCCAAAGTACCAAGAGCCATCAAAGCGACACCAGCTAAGCAAGGTTAGACAAGGGCCAAGATTCCCGGGATCGGATAAATATAGAGATACCTTTCAACGGAAGTAAGTTTGTACGGTCATGGCTACCACCCTCAGGGAAAATACCAACACATCCCCCAGCATTAAGTCTAGCAAATACTGCTTCATACACAGCTGTTTGATCCACATGAGGGGAGACTTTGAACTTTGAGCCTTTGAATTCGGGGTCCGTATCTAATGCATCCCCAATGATTTGCCCATCATCCGTGATATCTCTCCTCCCAGTGAGCTGATAGAGTGGATCTTTAGCTTTGAACGGCTTCTTTATGATCAATTCCGCCGGGCTGCGGATTTCAGCGATAGCAGCACTATGCGAACTACCATTGATGGTAGGGAGGGCTATTGTTCCGTCCTTCTCGAAGCCGGGCCCTTCGAAATCGGTATCTACTCCGCGAATCAAAGTTGGCTGGTTGATAGGATCGGGCATATAAATGGTGCCCTGGCCCGGTTTCATATTGTCCATTGCTCTGGCCACAGGTACAGTACCTATAGACCTGGCCAATAAGCCGATGAATTTGCGACGGAACGATTTTTCTGCAATGAGCCATGAAATTCGGCGGCGAGCTTCACTGCGCATTACACGCATCAGGATCAACGAATCGACAAACTAATGGTGCCAGATAATTAGCCAGTTGCACACGGCAGACAAATGTGACATTGGTCAGACAGCCCTACCTGGTTCGCATGAGGAGCTGCAACTAAGATCACCGGGCCTTTTCTAGGTATTTTCCAGGAACCGCGCGGGTGCACCTCCCGAAAGAAGAGGTCTACAAGAACGGAAAAAAGCCATAGAACGAGGTCATACAGCCATCCGATTAACGGGGGAATGTACGTTTGTTTTGCCATGGTGCGGTTAGCGGGTTTGGAGGATATTGTCAACTGATGAGAGGAAAGGCCGATACTCTGGTCGGCTAGAAGCAAAGGTCAGGTAGGGTTTTATAGCTCAGTGGCGTTATTCTTTGACGAGATGGCGAGCGCGTGCAGCTGCGGTCGAACGAGACATGAATTGCTATCAGCCTGCCTGTGATGCGAACACAATGAAGTTAGTTTTCAAGAGATCGTGGGCAATGGAGAGGCCGAATGTCTACCTGGGGAATTCACAGTGTAACAAACCCTTCCAGACAGATTGCGCAGATCGCTGTAGAGACTGTACATGTGTCCAGAAGCACACTTCGTTGGGGGGAAAGAAACGTCGAGAGTTCAACCACAGCCATGTGACAAGAGGCCTTGGCTCCATGGATGACATGGAACTGGAGTACTACGGAGAGTACTAGTGAAATGCTAGGGTGTGTGGGGGGGGGGGGGAAGAAAGTGAGGTAAACCCTTTGTAATTTAAACGGTCCGACCGCAACCCAGTAAAAATGACAGAACCGTAAAGCTAATGGAAAGTTTATGTCATTTCCGCGCAGCAGGTTCTAGAACCGTGTACCATTTGATGGGGTGACTTTGTACATACATGTACCAGGTCATACCACAAAAATATATCCCAAACGTCACCCCATACGAAGTTAGGGAAATAGCACGCACTGTGTATAGGAGCTACACTTGTTGTAGGACGCGTGTTCAATGAGTTAAAGGATGTTATATCAGTATTAGGAATCCATACATACTACGGAACATGAGTCGTCTTAACGGAATTTGTGGGGTAAAGGTTGAGCCATCTCCCCAGTCTGTGCTTCTTGGTTTATTCTCAATAAATCACTAAATCACTTCATTACCAGGAGGTTCTAGGAGTATTCAATTCTTTTGTTCTATTCTATTCTATTCTATTTTATTCTATTTTATTTTATTCTGGTTGAAGCAATATTTAGAGCTATCCTCTTCAGTAGTACCTCGAGTCAGGAGTCCATCTGTACAGCCATCAGGCTAGAACATTCTGATTTCCAGTTTTTGTCCAGTTGTAAATAATCACATAGGACGCACTCAAAAGGTAGAGTACGTTGATGTACGACCTTAAGTATAGTATTACCCTCGGTAGCATAACATTCATGGGTAGAACTTCCAATCAGATTGGCGAGGACAAATGCGCATAACGTTTTATGGGGATATATCATAAAGTATTGAAGTGAGGTCTAATTCGTGCCTTAGGATCATGGCAAATTTCCATAGCTACCATTGTAGATAGCTCTGGGATAGTATGATAGTATTCAGTTGTTGCTGGTCTTATTGTTCTGAGAGCGCCTCTTTGACACTTTTTTTTTTTTTCTTTTTTTTGGGTTTTCTCCGCCTGACATCAGCCCCGCGGAGGAGAAAAAAGTAACCCCAACTCTTTTTTCTCATCCTTATCATCGTCACTAGTACCACTACTCCCAAGTCTAAAGTAGATTATATTCAACCATCTAACTTTTAAATTTTTTTTTATTTTTCTTTTGCTGTCACCTTAAACTGACGACGGACGTCTGGCGATCCACTTTCCATTCCTACATACATCCGCCGCTCCACGTTGCACCGTGGCGATTACCTACCTTGAGCGGGTCTAATCCATTATCCACCTCCGAGCACCAGAGTTGATATACCCTTACGAGTTGCTAGGGTCTGATACGGCTTGTCGACCTATACCCACTAGTGTCTTCTTCCTGGTCACCTTTTTTTTTTTTTTCACTCAATCGGTATCGAACAAGCTGCATCGATTAGCCTTTCGCTATTTGCCGTCTGAGAGCTTCCAACGATATCAATTGACAAGATATATTGTCTTCACTGTCCTAACCTAACCCGCAGGACACTAGTTCTCAACCGAGATCAATCATAATCGGTAGTGAACAGTCTTCTATACCGTGCACGGTATTCCATGATTAAGGCACTACTGGCCACATACCGGACTTGCTAACGGAACGGATTGGGTAAAGATGTCGATCAAGTATGTGAATGACCCCTCACGGCCCCAACTTCCATAAGTCTTCATCATTGTTGGTGCATATTTCTCTCTCCCAGATATGCTGGACCTCCGGGCCTATATCTAAAATACGCCTTATACAATTTTACTTTTCTTTATCTTTTCACACTTGGCTTCAGCCCCCACTTGTTACTCCTCACGGGCAATTACCACTATATCATTCCTACCCAATTTTGAGAGGGGAAGGAATAAGACATGATATGGGATTGATTCTAACCTACTCTGCCGAGCAGCTGGGTGATGCTACATGAGCATGAAGGCTTTGTCCGTCTTCCTCATGAGCATTTGATATATACGTCCCCACCTCGCACTTGCCTTTCTTTGAAACCACTCGACTCATATAAAGGCAAGGATGCCATATCATTCCAAAGTGATTCGGGCCGAATTTATCTTACAAATCATCGGGTACATCCCCCTTTTATCAGTTTTCTCTTTTGACATTATATTTTAGAGATCTCTTGCACACCTTTTCCTGAGCTTACAAGTATCTTCATATCAGGTCGTATATATACCAGCCAAGAAGTCTAATGACTTCCAATCATTCTCTGCACCTCTTCTTCACATGCATGATACTCATGTATCAGCCCCACTTTTTGGTGCAAATGTGTGGCAGTCTCTTGTCCAGCCAGTACCTGGTGGAGGTATACCCTCATCACTGCCAGCGGCACAGTTGAAGGTGACTTTCAAGGAGGGAGGAGCGTTTGATTATCACAACAAATTCGAAGAGATCAAAGAACGCCTACGAGTGGCCCATGAGAACACTCGACAAAGCAGCCGAGGGGTTGGGAATGTTGATATGTCTACTGTTCATCTGGACCAATTGCCCGCTTACTCCGGCCCCGTTCATGATTCGACTGGCTCCAACCGTGACAATCAACATCCTCCATCAAACTCCCAAGATAGCCATGCTACTTCAGAGTCGTGCCCCATGGGACCGCCGCCAGGCTATGAAGAAGTTCAGCAGCAGAGTATCGCCGATGAGCTCGAAGAAAGGTTACGTCGTGCCAGCTGAGAAAGCATATTATTGCCTGGACCTAATTAGACACATTCTTCGTACCTCGACATATCTCATCTCTCTTTTTTTCTCTTTCCATGGTTCTTAATGACTATAAACAATCCGTTCTTGTATAGTACATCTATTACTTACTATAGCTAAAGGGTCGATCTAGTACCTAGCGCGTTTAAACACCATCAGCTTTTCTGGCTTTTTCTTTTCTTTTATTTTTTCCTAAATAGGATCATAGAGCCTATTCTTAAGATATATATTATTGAATATACCATTCTAGTCATTCCTAGCAGCTGGGAAGGCTCAGTATCAGATTGTTATTTCTTAAAAAATAGGATTACTACATTGGTCAATCCCCTACCGAAGCGTCGGCCAATCACGTGTGCGATAATTGAACATTCGCCGGCGGCCGGACTGTTCCGATTTTCCTGGACGGCAGAGCCAAAGCTTCGTAAAACCATCAACCTCATCAACCTCGCTCGTCGCTGCCGTTTGCACACCCCACATTTTGGAACCTCGGTCCTCCAATCCCCTCAATTGATACTTCCACACAGTCCAAGATGGGTATCTCCGACTTTTTCTCCGATATCATTTCCTCCTTCAGCCTCCCCGAGGCCCAGGCTGAGGCTCCCGCTGAGAACGTTGAGCAGCCCAGCAGCCAGGAGACCGAGACCGAGGAGAAGCCCGCTGTGACCGAAGAGTCGACTAGCGAAGAGACCGCCGAGAAGAGTGAGGAGTCCGCTGAGGAGACTCCTGAGGAGCCTGCCGAGGAGGAGCCCGAGCAGGCGGAAGAGGAAGAAGAGGAGGAAGAGGAGGAAGAAGAGGAAGAGGAAGAGGAGCCTGAGGACATCAAGCCCCAGCTAGAGGAGGGTGAGTCGCTTGTTCAGATTAAATCCCGCGTCTTCATGATTTTGCATCGTTAGACTGCCCTGTTGCGCGGCAATGGCACGATTCGGCCAATATACGCCTGATCTCCATTTGTCCGCATCGCACATGCCATTGACACAAAATCATCTTTTGTCATTCTAATCGCACGTCTCGTATTCGCGGTGACTAACATTGACGGTATTAGAATGTGCCAACTCCGCTCAGTGCGCCCCATACAAGCATCACTTCGATGAGTGCGTTGAGCGTGTCACCCAACAGCAGGAGGATGCCGACTACAAGGGCCCCAAGGAGGACTGCGTCGAGGAGTGTAAGTGGCTTCTTTTCTATTCTCTATTACTTTGGGACTTTTACTCTGGCGGCTGTGCCAGCCATACATGTCTACGCATATCGAATACCTCAAAAAGCAATCGTTAACACGAAACTGACATCTCTTGCTCTAGTCTTCCACCTTGCCCACTGCGCTTCCGAGTGCGCCGCCCCCAAGCTCTGGAAGTCCCTCAAATAAGCGTCTCGTTCCGGGACAATTCCTGCCACGTTTCTCTTATGGTTCAATGGCAACGAGTTTAACGATGGCGCATCATGTATGGACCATCCGGATGAGATACGAAGGGGGAACTGTGGAGGGAACTCACAGAATAAAAAACGTCATGACGGCTGGCTGTTTCCGCTTGTCGGCCTAAAGTGTCTCGCATAGAATGGGAATAGACTCCTCTCCAATGTGGGATTTGTGTCAGGAGCGGAGGATGGGGGAATGACATCCTTCGCTGTGTATGTACAGATAGCTGGGTTTTTGCCTGTTTGTGAACTGTGCTTCTTAATTTTCCTTGTGTTTAGAACGAATGGCATTTGTCTCTTAGACTGCTGCTCCCACCGCCAGTTCCCACTGGATCTTGTCAGAGACGGGCTTGCACTAGGTTTATACCACGCGTACTCTTTTCCCTTGGGGCCCTCAAATACTGGGCCATATGTATGACAATTATATACACATCTCTCAAATCCGAACGACAACCACTGCTAACATAAAAAACATACCTGATTTTAAACCAGGAAGCTCCCTTGTGCTAACTATTGTTTCTCGACCAAAACTTAAGACTAAACTTTGACTCAGTCCCAGGTGTAGGGGTGTCGTCTCCCGCAAGACCGGTATCAGTATACTCACGACCCTCCAGATCAACCCCTCTATCCACATCCAATCTTCGACGTCTAACATCCCTCCCGAACAGCCCGATCGAGATAGGAAACGGCGCCGCAACACAAGCAATAACAGCCGAGAAGATCAGCGCATTTCTCATGTTCTCCGGCGGGTCGGCGTCACGACCTGCCTTGAGTGCATCCTGCGCTAAAATAAAGACGGCCCCGAGGAGCTGACCGCCCGTCCAGCAGATCGTGCTCCCGATCTCGGGAGAGAACGGATACGTGATTTCGACGAGATATTCCAGGACGACGGGGAGGAGGGCGAAAGAGGAGGCGCCGAGAAGGGCGCAGACGACGTAGGCCGGTGCGATGCCCGCCGGGCTGGGTGGGGCGAAGATTAGACCAATATAGCAGACTGCTACGATGGGGACTAGGATGCGGATAGTGATCAGGTAGTGCTTCCAGCGGTCTGTTATTGGGGAGATGATGGCTGAGCTGATTAGACCGACTATGATGAGGATGCCACCTGCGATTCCGGCTTCGGTTTCGGTGAAGGCATAGGGGGCGAGGATCTGGTTGAGGAGTGAGGAAACGCTGTTGAAGAAGCCGACGTAGACTGAGAAGGGGATGAGGATGAGCCAGAACTCTAGCGTCTTGAAAAGTTGGGCTATTGCTGGGAGGAGAGGCGTGCGGGTTGTTGCTGAGGATGCACTGGGTGGTGTTGGGGGTTCTGATGGGAGAATAAAGGAAGGAATGGCAGCGATTGTTGCCTGTGGTTTTGCATCGGATCTTGTTAGAAGAAAAGAGGGCCTTCAAGGATGAGTTTTGGGGTTTCGTCTTTCTTCGCCTTCATTTTCGGGGTCACACTTACAATGACGGATATATACAGAACCATATCGGGAACCTCGCTGGGCTTTGTCGCCCAGAACGAATCAATTAGCTGGCCCAGAGCTGCTCCCAATGGATTGGCTAAGGTGGCTACGGCCGTGGCACTGGTGCGCCCTTGGTCCGAGAACCATAGGTCACTGTACCGGGTGGGAGCGCTGAGACAGAACGGCTGAGCCAAACCGATGAGGATCTGGCCGAACATGGCGACGCCAAACATGCCTCCACGGGCTCTGGTACCTGCATATCGAACCCAATTTCCCACCAACAGGAGGGTAGAAGTGGTGATAATGGCTGGTTTGGGGCCGCCTTTATTGAGAGTGAAAATGACGACACTGGCATATAGGGTACATTATCGTCAGTTTTATGTCATAGTTGAATGCAGATGCAGGAAGACTTACGGGCTAGCGGCACAGAAGGCAAACAGATATCCTGTACTCATCCAATTGATTGCGCTTTCGGAGACTCCAAAATGCTGAGAGGCAGTGGTGGATATGGAGGAGAAGGTTAACCACTGTGGTATGGAAAATTAGTCCAACATGCTGCTGCTGCTGCTGCTGCTTCTTATTCAAAGGCTACGGTATCGCCGCACTAGTGATTACGAGACTGAGGATCACATACATCCCAGCTGACCACAATGTTCAATAACACCAACTGGGCCAGTCCCCAGAAGCGACGCTTGTAGACCTTATAGCCAGGCCCCGAGGGAGGGAAATCCGACTGGTTTGAGGTATGGTGTGCATCTCGTGATTTGGAGGCCATAATGGGAGGGCTAGTCATTTCTCTTCATAATTCCTCTATAAGATGGAAGAAAGTGATCTTCAGCAATCAAATATAAGTTGGTATTCTTGAAGAACCGGACGACGCCGTTGGGAATGATCCGACGGGGGTTACAGCGCACATGCGGCGCAATTCCCATTTAATAAGAATACCCCAGAGATCACCAGGAAGAACCTAGGTTAGTCTCTGGGTTAGGGCACTGAGAATAATCGTATCAAGTCAGTCTCGCCCATTATTGGGGTTCAATCAACCCGAGGCTTAAGACCCGAAGATCGACTGCGGGGTTTGAGAATCCATTTAAATTAAAGAAGTCCGATAATTGGGTGCAGATACTCGTAGAGTAGTACTAGCTGACAAGAGAGAATTCAATGTAACCTTTTGCTTGGCTACTACGATCTCTCGAAGTCAGGTGAATCTCCATCACATGATGAGAGAGCATCTGATCTGTTGACGGATTTGGATTGCAGTGGATTTTCCAGTATGGAAAAAGTGAATTTATCCAAAGGAATGGAGATTGTCTTGGGCAGGTTATGTATGGCCGTCCAATCATCGTCTCGTATCGCCTGTCGGACTTTAATTGCAATGAATGTTTCACAATCCATGGCTCATCAAACATCAATTTCTGGAGAACTATTTTAATCCTTCCCGAATCCGAAGATCTTTCGATCTAGAAAGTCTCGGAGGATGTCAACAAACAACAACCTTCCAGAGGGTAGTGACTGACCTGCAGCCAATTCAACATGTCTTCGACGGACATTATACATCATCTTCTGGGTATCAGGGCTGCAGCAGGACGCGGAAGACCAGTCTGATTGCTCTGAAACCTGCGCAGTCTCTATCAGCTTTCCATGTTCGCGACAATCATCGTGCTGGGTCTACCTTCCGGGTCATACTCAGTCAGAATATTCTAATGAAAAACAAAAGAAAAGAAGAGAATGAAAAGGTTCAAGGTTCGTGAATCATCGCCCTTTCCATTGCAGATGATGGTTGGACATGCGATCATTCTCACCCTCTACGCTCCTTATCGTTACTTCTCTGTACTTTGTTTTTCCCTAATATTATAACTCCAATAATTTCTTCAAGGTTCATCCATCTCCAATGCTGACACATATTGCTTTGGATCTATCGAAGTTACTTTTCTTTTTTTTTTTTTTTTCTCTTTTTTTTGTCTCTCTTCCTCTTTTCTTTCCTTCGCTAGTGGCGCTGAAGATTTAAAAGTGTCCCATAATGGTTCGTGTCCACTGGCTGGGCCGCTGAGCATCGACACTCTTTAGTTTGCAGATCGTCTCGACTCCGTCCTCGCTTTCAACTTTGTCTCCCCCAACCTTCTTTCCTTTCTTCCCTTATTACTCCGCCGCTTCATCTCTTTTTATCCCTATTCTTGCTCTCGTCCCTCTTTCAGCTAGGAATTCTGTTCCATTTCGCCTCCCTCTACCGCTTGTCTAAATCCCGGTCACCTCCTGTAACAATAAACACGGAGTGTCCACCCCCTTCAGGATGTATACTGTCTAGTACTCTTTCTGCGAAGTCTCTCTATCACTAGTCTATCTCGCACAATCTCACTCGCCGAGTTTTTTGCGCACTTGTATTCAGAATGAGTGGTTTCGACCTACGATCCAGTCAATCGTCCTATGGCGATCCAAGACACTTTTCCGGCGCCTCCTTTGGCGCTCCGCAACCTCCCCCGACGAAGGTTCTCATGGACGCATACCATGGCACTCCCATCCTGAAAAATGTGGAAACTCCGCGCTATAATCCAGTAAGTGGTTCTTCAACCTCATGTCAGGCCCGCCATTCGCTGACGCCTTCGCTTGTCCCTAGTTGAATACGACGCACCCAAGAAGTTCGGCTTTACTCAACGGCAATGATCCTGTGACGATGTATTTGTTGACCGAAACTGCTATGGGTGACAGTGCACATTATGAAGTCCTGTCCCTGGAGGAGGTTGAAGGGCTGAAGAAAGAATTCAAATTCCTTTCAGGTCGCTTGGAGTCTGCCAAACGGAAACTGGCCTTGGAGACGAAGCTTCGCGATGCAGCCATGTCCCTTAGCCGACTTTATAACTCGAAGAGCTCTAGGTCGAGCGAAGAATACGATGTGGAAGGTTCTCCGAAATCTAATCGGAGCCGTAGGAGCATGTTCGGTCGCAATGGCGCTGCAAGTACACTCGACAAAACGGATGGGGAGTTGGCAGTGAGCACGCGAAAGTGCGAGGAGCTTTCGCAGGAAGTCTGGAACCTGGAAAGTAGAGTTCAGCTGATCCAAAAACGTTTACTGGAGCATACTGCTGGCGTCTTACAGATGACACATAAGGGGTTAAAGAAATATACGAAGAACAATGTGCCCAATACCCCTGAGAGCCTCTCCAGCCATAACCCCCGTGGTAGCATCGATGACTTCGATTATAGGAGCTTATACAAAACGTCAGATCATCTCAACGAGCTCAGTGGGAATGGGTCTCAAGAGCCAGGTCCTTTGGCTCATTCGAGTCAACCGGCAGTCGGCCTCGATACGATCCAAAATACCGAGAAAAAACTAGAGATGCTAAGTGGGCAGATGCGTGACATGATTCTACAGTCCAATCCCAACAGTGACATCGCTCCGGTTCCACAAGTCTCGGTGGAGGGATCCATGCCCAACCCTACAGCAACTATTGAAGCTTATATGGCATACATCGAAGACGGGCTTGGCGCACTCGCGATTCACTCCAATAACACTCCCGGCACCAGAAGCATGGACCATGGGAGCGATCAACAATTAGCGGTGGTCAACACTCGACTATATCAGATCGTGAACGAGTCGGGCTTGCCGCGCTCACGGACCCTTCCGCCACCACCTGCTATATCTAACGGGAGCCTTGAGGAACACCTCTCGTACCTTAGCGAAGGGATCGACGGCCTCCATGAGCGCTTGGGAGGGCTCCTTGAGCAGAAGGGCATCCTTACTACCCAAATTCAGCAACAGCGGGAGCTAAACTCCAAGTCAGACGCGGAGAGGGATGCGCATATCGCCGACCTGGTCGAGCAGTTGGCCCGTGTGCGAAAGGAGCTCGACTTGGCTGAGCGAGAAGGGGAACAGTCTAAAGATGTGCTGGACCACACGATGGAGCAGCTGGAGGCTGCACGCCGGGAGCTGTCAGATCATCAGCAACGGGCCATCCCAGAGGACAATTCGGAGGCCATCGCATCTGAAAAAGAAGCTCGCACACGCGCAGAAGCCGAGGTGTCCCATCTGCAAACCGTCGTAAAAGAGCTTCAACACGAGAAAGATGCCCTTTCTGAAGCTCATGAGGCACGTCTTCGCGCTGAAACTGAGATTACCCAGTTGCAAGCTGTCGTACACGAACACCAGCGCGAGAAAGATGCACATAACGAAACCCAGGAAGCGCATCGTCACGCGGAAAGTGAAATTGTTCGTTTGAAGAACGTTGTGCAAGAGCTCCAGCACGAAAAAGATGCCTATGCCGAAGCCCACGAAGCGCGCCTTCGTGCGGAGGCTGAAGTTGCTCGCTTGCAGCCTGCCATCCAAGAGCACCAGCGCGAGAAAGATGCTCACGCTGAGACTCATGAAGCACGCCTTCGCGCTGAAGCCGAAATCGCACGTTTGCTGACTGTCATCCAAGAACACCAAAGCGAGAAAAACGTTCATGCTGAGACTCATGAAGCACGCCTTCGCGCTGAAGCCGAAATCACCCACTTGCAGGCTATCATGCAAAAACTTCAACAAGAAAACGAGACTCAAGCGGAAGCCCATGAAGCACGCGTCCGTGCCGAGACCGAAGTTGCCCGCTTAGAAGCGCAACTGGAACAAATTCAATCCGAGTCCAACGGTCACACAGAGCAACTGTCTGCGGTACGCTCCGAGGCAGATAGGGAGATCGCGCGCTTACAAGCTGTGATCGATCAACTTCGCGGCGAGGTCGACGCAAAGGCAGAGGAGGTCACGGAATCCCGTGAACGATCAGAAAAACAGATCTCGAGTTTGGAGGAGAGTTTTCAGCAGATTCGTACTGAAACTGACGCTCGGCTGAAGGAAGCCACTAACTCGCGGACACAGGCCGAGGATGAAATCACTCGGTTGCAAACTCTGATAGAACAAATACGCTCCGACGTGGAGTCTCAACTCAGCGAGGCAACCAAGGCTCGGGCAGACGCTGAAGAGAACTCGGCACGCTTGCAGGCGGAATTAACCGAGCTCGAAGGTGAAGTTGTGAGGGTTCGAACTGAACTTACAATGGCTCAGGCTGAGCTCGATGGCGCTTATGGCAGCCGGTCTCAACGGGCAGCCGCCGTCGACCCTGCCCTTCAAAAGGAGCTCGAGGTGTTAACCACCCGTAATATCGAGCTGGCGCAGGAGCTCGCCACTTTTAAGGCCGGTAAGCCTGCAAGTAGCGACACACAACGGCGCGTAGAGACGTTGGAGAAGGAGCTGCGCGAGACGATTGACGACTATGAAGTCATGACCAAGGCTAGTATCGAATTTGAGAAAGAACGCGAGAAGTTTGAGAGCCTCATTGACGCGCTTCGGGATCGCTGTGAGCAACTGGAGACGCAATTGAATGAGGAGCGGATCACCTGGATGGGCATGCACTCAGCGTCAATGGGACGAGACGGAACCACGTATGAGACCACATCGACCATGGTGCTGAAGAATGAATTCAAGAAGATGATGCGTGACACGCGGACAGAAAATATGAAGATACTGAAGGTGAGTAAATCGTTGTCCATTCTCTAGTAAAACCCTCGAGTTGACTTGAGCACAGGCGGAGCAAGAAGAACGCCGAAGGCTGGAGGCTTTGCTCAGGAATCTGAAAAAGGAGCAAGCCAGCAAAGCTGGTCCAAACCAGACCGTCACGGCTTTATGACAATGATGATATCCTAAACTTCTCCTTGTTGAACCTCAAGCCATCCTATTTCGGTGGTCAATTCATCTTGCTGATATTCTTTTCCTTGTACATATTAATGTTTATTCACTCTGGGTATATATTGGTTCGGTTATGATCCCTCTTGTTGTTTATATTCTAAGGGACTTGATAAATGTATATCTACTATTCGAAATGCGCAAAATGCACTTGGTGACTATCCTATGATTGATCGCGATTCTTGGTTTTGTCAGACACAATTCGTGATATTCAGTGATGCACGTACCTACAGTACAGCATTTAAAGAACCACAGAAACACTAACTTCGGCACATGCTTACCTCTAATGTCTAGAATGAGACAATTTCGACTTAACTCTACCAGACGACCAAACGTAGTTCTTTCCCTCCAACCCACTGGAGTGCTGCCTTCTCGATTGGACTTTAGCAAGGTTGGAAGGCACGGTGACATTCAAGTACCGTGCGCACAAATCAATTTGTACCTTTCGTTGACTACACGTCGACTAATCCCATGCCAGTTCTCAGATCTGTCATGCCTCAGAATGGATCTGCGATGTCGCTCTCCTTTAATCAGTCCGGACTCTGTCCCACATCAGAAAAGAGCGATATCCCACCCGGGCTCGACCAGAGAGTCATCTGGATCGAGTCCAAGCGATGCAAGCTCGATATATAATGCCGCGAGGGTAAGCTCGGGGTTGGAGGACCTTGTGCCTACGACGAGTGGTATCCTGAATAGCAGAATGACAGCAAACATGGCAATGTTTGTCTCTCCCACGTCCGAGTACATGGCAGGTAATTCATCAAAGCCAAATACATCCGAAAGCCATATACTGTCGCGGAAAATTGATGGACAACGGATCATACCGAGTACAGAGGAGTCACCAGAAGTAGACCGGTTTGCCCAACGGCGACACCGCAAAACGGCGAGTGTCAACGATGCAGATACAAAAGTGAGAGCTTCCAGATGGCTGGGAAGTGTAGTGTCCCCTGCGAGTCCGATTCTACCCACGTACCCACCACCGGTAAGAATGCCAACACCTCCAGGACTTCCATCTTTCGGCACTCAAGAGGCAGTACGTTCCTCTGCGAGGTTTCCTGTCCAATCAGCACCGGGCAATGGGCAATTCCAGCAACGTGACCGTTGCAGCAACGCTGCTGATGGCAATAGGTTCGAATCGTACAGGGAGTCATTTCTAAGATTCTTTGGTATCTCTTCATCTTCTGCCTTTCGGCCTAACAGGCGAGGATGCATTGCTGTGAGGGCAGTTGATAACACTATAGTCCAAGGACGCTTCCCTCATAGGCATAGTGCCCATGGAGTCGGTGCGAATGGTAGGCTACTCGACCACCCATTTCATCGAAGAAACCTTTCTATGGCTCAGTGTGGTGGCATTGACGAGGGTGGCGGCGGCGCTATTCAGACTAGGCCATCAGACACGGAGCACTGTTCCCATATCAAGCGGCAGAACTCAATTTACCGAGACAACCTACCTGTTTCTCGTCCACAATACCTACCAAGCAGTATCTCACCGGGGCCAAGCTTCTCGGTGACCACTCAATCAGCAACAACCTCCGCTAATTACACGGATAGACGCGCCTTAGAGCCAGGGGCTAGGAGAACTCCGGTGGTGGACATGCCTGCTATACTAGCATCCGAACCCTCCGGCTGTTCCCTCACACAAACACGATCAACAGCGGAGCCTTCTGTCATGCTTGAGGGCCAACATGGCCGTTGGTTACAGGCCTCAAAGATTGTTAACTCTTTCTTTTGCTGTTGTTTGGAAGCCAGGAATGAGCAGGATACCATTGTATACGTTAATACTACGTCTAATGACACATATGCTACTGCAAGGAGCCGGGTCTCGGACGAAAGCGCAGCTCATTCGCATGTCAGGGAGGGCACGGTGCAGGAGTTTAGGCGTTACTGCTCGAACATGTGGACGTCGTTTGGAGCTTTTATCTCCTCTCGTAGTCACAGATCCTCCACATGGTTAGAACAGACCCGGGAGCCTTTTTAACGGCTGATACGATTTGGGACTTTGGATATCAGGCGTTGTGTATCTCACATGGTTCACTCGGGAATCTTTTCACTGCCGTGAAAGACCATGAGGATATTGGGTTATCGGTACACGCTGGTCTGTATCCATCAGGATCCACTATTGTTACTCTTTCTTCATGAAGTAACCTTTTAGAGAGCTTTGGATGACAATGTTCATTCGATGAAAGAAAAGGGAGGCTTCTACACCACGCCTTTTTACTATATTCTTAACTAAGGGACCCATGGCTTGAAGGCTAGTCATACGACTTTCCATATCTGATACTGCAAAGGCATGAGCCCGTCAACTCCGTTACTCCTCGATGCATTAATGCTCGGGAAACGATAGACGTTGTATAGTAAACAATAAGTTTAAGGACATTCTATATAACGCTCATGACGAGTTTAGAAGGTTTCCGTCGAGATCGTAGACCCTAATATTCACATGAAATAAAGAACATCGACGACAATATCCAAATGGGCTAAATAGAGACCAAGAATAGTGGAAGGAGAAAGGATGCGAATATAATGGAGGATAAAAGCCATAAGACCGACATCATGTCGGCAACGGCATATGCAGAAGTCCAATAAAAAGAAGCGATTATTAAAGGCCTGTAAAGAACTGAGAAGCCTCTTTTATCTCTTCGTCGTCGTCCGCAAAATCCCATACCACTATCCTTGGGTCCTGGGTGGCACAGACGATTTTCCGCGCGTCGAATTGGACCTTAAAGACCCTGGAGGATGGCGGATTGTTGCCATTGCCATTGCCATCGTTGTTATTGTTATTATTTGCACGGGCTTGCTGGTTCCGCGCTGCGTTATGATAATGATGGTGATGTGCCGCTCCTGGAGCTTGCACAATTGGTGGGTGCTGTTGAAGCTGAGGGGGGAAAGGATTATTTGTTGCTGGGCCAGCAGCTGGGTTGGTAGGTCGAACTCGCTGAGCTTGCTGGGCAAAGGCGTTTCGTGAGCCACGAGGCGGAGGAGCTTCATCATCAGTATCCTCTCCGTTGATTTGCTTCAAAGTTTTCACATGAGACAGTGGTTGACCAACGACCCAGGCGCCATCTCTGTCCTTCTTCCAGACAAGCACTAATTCATCATACGAACCAGAAACAATTCTAGCCCATTTACTTCCACCTCCTCCCGGTGGGATATGAGCACCCAAAGCCTTGATGTCCTTTGGATTTCTGGAACCAGCCGTGTTTTGGTGGTGGCCAGCACGTCTGAGAGCTCTTGGACCGTAGTCGACAGCTTCGTCAGAGCACCGAGCATCGAGGAACTCGTTGTCAACAGCCAGAGCTTCCATCTTCATAGCCTCTTCGGCTCCTGGTGGGTCGCCAAACCCGGCTTGGACAGTTCTTACTAAATCAGCGTGACCAGATAAACAAGCAACCTCCGCACCCGAGCTGTGATCGAAGATGCGAACGGAGTCATCATTGCTTCCGCTGATTATACGCCGGCCATCAAACTGGACGCATGCGATACCTTTCTCGTGGCCCACAAGGGTCTTCTTGCAGAGACCACTGCGGATGTTCCAGATCTTGATTAAACGGTCACCTGAAGCAGAAATAATCTCATCTTCGCTTATCTGGATAGCATTAACTGCAGCCCCGTGCCCTGCGATTGTCATCAAAAGAGAGTAGGGAGCTAGGCTACGGATGTGACGCTTGGCTAGCTCTGTTTCTGTGATAGGGGAAGGAAGCTCGCTTATATCAACGATGTGCGCCGGAAACATAGCTCCGGATCCATGATGGATCACAGGATAGTCCTTGTCACCGGGTATGAGCTCACGCCGATTCCAAACCTTTATCAGCTTATCTTTGGAACATGTGACAAGATAACGCTCATCAAATCTGAGATTTAACACAGAGTCCTGATGAGCTGGTGCGATCTCTTTTAGTTTCTCACCGGTGGAAAACCGCCATATGATGATGCTCTTATCGCTGCTCCCAGTCATAATAATGTCCTCAGAAGGTCGGGGATCAAATTGGAGACAGAGCACGGATTTGGAGTGGCCCACAAGAGGACGATAACGCAATCTCTGCGTATCTATGTTCCAAACTCGGACAGTCCTATCTCGACTACCACTCACCAGCCAATTCCCCCAGAATTGAATTGAATAAATACATTCTTTGTGGCATTCAGCCAAGTGCTCAGGGTGGGGAATCTGGAATTTCGTGAGGCGACCTCTATTCCAATTCTCTTCCAACCGTCTGCGTTGCTTATAGAGATGAAGCCAGTTAATTCTGGCACCACCGTTAGGCATCCGTAGCAGGATAGATGATTTTCGGGACGAGAAAGTTGATGATGACGTGGGTCCATGCGTGGTGCGAGAGAGGTGTATTTGAGAACCTCGAATGCTGTTCGAGCCTAACTGGTGTCCAGGGGAAGTCGACCCATTCTGGTCATTTGCGACATCGCTCATGAGATGATCACCCTCAGTGTCGGCCTCCGCAGAGGTTTGTTGTCCATCTTGTCGCCCGATTATGTAACTACCCACATATCCTGTCGTCCGCGAGTCTAGCCAGCTTGGGGGTACGCGTTTCTTATTCTTCGGTTCTCCATCGTCTGTATCGGCGTTTCTTAAGCGGGATTTACGAAGGCAAGGGGATGAAAGTTTGGATTGCCTTTCCTCAAACGAACGGATTGCATCAATATCGACACGCCAACCTTCATCGATGTACTTCCCTCGCCACAGACCTGAGTCAATTATACGGCCTCGCCAGGCGCGAGATGCCAATGAAGCTATCAAGAGAGTCTTAGGGTCAAGGTAGGAGAAGATCTCGGAGGTGATCTCAGGGGGGAGTTTGACAACGGGATCCATGTGCAACACAGGCGCAAGGCGGTCGACAACCGCGGCCACGGTAGAACTGGGTAGTGTGCGTAATAAACTGTAGGCAATCTCTATACATGATGAATAGTAAGCATCAGCGCCCACAAACAAAAGGCGGAAGGCATCAGCCTGGCGGTCCAGACACACGAACAGCGCTGGCGGGAAAGTTCAACGCACCAGCCCTATCTTCTTCACTATTAGCTAGAAGCCAATCGGGGAGAGGCATCACATCATCCGAGGGCAGGTCCACAAGTTCCTTGTCCACCTGGCTTCTAGTCTCGTCCGAGTAACCCTCGTCTAGTCTGTAAGGTGCAGATAATGGGGGGGCGGTGAGGTCGGGGGAATAATTGGCGGTGGTAGCCTCTCCAGCCATGAGTCCTTCCGTCACTGCAACAAGAGGGTCAAGGTGCAGCAGTCAGATCCACCTTTTTGCTGAACTGACACGGGAGGGGTGACCCAAGCCTCAGTTCACTCGGCGCGCAGCTTAAATGATGTTGTTTGTCTTCCTACTTGGCAGCAAAACAGGCGAATATCGGATTGCCTGTGTCCCTGGAAGTAGACCGCTCCACGCCTTCAAGAACAAGCATGAACGATATTTAAATCGTAACTTAGCATTGACGGGCCTTAAAGACGGTGATTGAACACCATATTGAAAGAAGTTGGGGAGGAGACTGTCGTCAGAGAGCGTTGGCGGCGGATTGATAGGTGACTGACTATCGATACCCAACCGGGTTTAGTCAGACTTTACCAGTAACTAACTAGTTAGTTGTTGTTGTTTGTTTCTTCCAAGTACGGTACGGGTCACGTCAGAAATTTTAGTTTCTTGGGTACCGCCGGGGTATTTACCAGGGCAGGAAGGAAGCAAACATTAACCTATGTACTACTCTGTACTCCGTACTAGTATGTAGTTTCTCTACTACGACGGTACGTACATTACATCCAGTACTGTATCTAGAACATCCAAGGTTACCTCTGGTTAATATTATCCCCGCTTATAGATACACCAGGTCTAGGTACATACATACATACCTACTACTTGGTACTTCAGGCTCTTCTCCAGTGACGTACAGCTGTATCCCTTCAACGCTGCAGCTATACTGAGGAACCTGAACATGTATTGTACTTTGTATGTCACATGTGTCAACTAAGCCTCTCAGAAACCGGGCCCAGGGTTCAAGCATCCAGTAATACATCTTGCATGGTTCTACGTGGCGGTGAGAACTTGCTAGAATTGAGAATGTAACCTTCATCGCTGTCTTTGATGATATACTAGTATATACTAACACCCTTTCATAGGTCCGATCTTGTCGGCCATTGCTTGTTCGACTTTAGCCTAGAGTTGGGCTCGATTACTTCGGTACCATCGCCAACGGTCAAGAATGGTCAAACGGGTAATCTCTCAAGGATCTAGATTTGACATTCTTTCTACTCCGCCGTTCCACATAACCTTGTGGGTTAGTTGTTGTACAGTAGGAGCCATGGCGCAATCTCAATTTAATCCATAGCCGGCGTAGAACTCCCCTACTCCCCGGGCCATAGATTATCATTACTTGAAAGAGCTAAGTTCCTTGAGACTTAGTGCGTGTACCCTGTCTGGAATTGCTGATGAGAGCATAGGGGAGATGTTAGTATAGATAAATACAAAAAAAAAAAATAGTAAAGCATTGATTACAATACGCTTGCCCCAGGTTCCATCTTGATTATCTGGAGAAACTCCAGGAATGTACAAGCATGAGTCAGCAATAACTAGACTATAAATTAATGACTACATATGATGTCCGGATACCTACCTATTCACTATATTTGGGAAAGATAATTGAATAGCAGTCCAACTGCTCCTTGGGGTCCAACCCTGTCCGGCCCAAGGTCATATAATCCTGCAAAACTAGATATATTGATTAGTTTGATCAACTTCATATCCAATCTTCTACTAAGTATCACACATGGGGGGGTGACCAACAATGTCATTTTGGTTGCTCTTGCTTGCTGGACATACATAGGCTGAGTCGGATGCACTGCTATCGTCTCATGGGGGTAAGCAACACCTACAAACTGCTCTCTTAGTGGGGGTCAGCCACTGTCAGAAGTGAAGAGGATCAGTCTAACTCTCAAGGAGATAAGCACGCCATTCTTTAGACAGGACTCCAAAGCTTTATGAATCAATAGATTCTCCATGGGCTCTACTGGTTTATCTTAGTAATTTTGGCTTGGGAGTGAATTCTCCTTGGGATTCATAGTCAATTGTGAAAGATACAAATACTACAGAGTCTGGTGATTCCCACCAATCCTCAAGTCAGGCCTGAGAAATACAGGTTAGGGCTGAACGGAATATGCTCCGTATGTACAACCATTTAATTTTATTTTATTCTATTTATATTTCTTCAACTCGCCCCGGCGCCCATACCTTGCTCCATCCTGCAGGGATAGAGGAAGATTCTTATTATTTCTTTTCTTTCCTTTCCTTTTTTTTTAAAAAAAAATATATATATATAATAATAATAGTAATAATAATAATAATAATAATAATAATAATAATCATAATAAATAAATAAATAAATAAATAATGGAAGCAGAAGAAGGATAGAGAAAGAAGAAGAAAAAAAAAAGGGAAACATTATGCTGGAGGTATAGCATCATCTCACACAAGGATCGAACGATGACAGCGGCTGTGAAAGTCTTGTTTACTTGACTGAACCCCCCACTTCATCATAAATGAACCTAAAGTGGCTGATACTTCGGCAGGGAAAATCATAATATGACCCGTGCCTAATTATCGCGCTAGTTCAGACTAGTCAGAATCTCAAACACTTCATGTAAGAGATGAGTATTCATGCAACCTGATGTGCATCCGATATTCATGCCCCAGCCCCTACTGTGGGTTGTTTGGAAACCTGGGAAGATTTTAGTCAAGGGTTCTTTGACCCAACCCCGGTTTTTGCATTGGTCTCGAGGGAATGATTGATTCCCTGTACATCCGCCCCTAAGTTTGAAATTCACCCATCATACTAATGATGTCTTTTCTTATTTGGGGGCATTTCGCCCACTGTTCTATTATTAATGTGCTTCATGTAACTAACTATCTGATTAATGGTACTACTGGTCAGTAATATGTTGAAATATGTATTCAACCTAACAACTACTGCCTGAGGTATGTAGTATACTACTTCATCCTGTACATAACTTTCCCAGTAGATACAACAACATACTACATACTTCCCGTCGTACAGTAGACTAACTGACTTGGGCACTAGACCAGATAGAGGGACTACTAGTTAAGTTCAAATGTCCTTAGGCCCCTCCACTCCACCATCTCTTGTTGTTTCCCCTCCCCTCTCTCCCCTTATGCCCCCTTTCAATCACTGGACCATTGAACATTCGCCAGCCAACTTAGGGAGCCAGACGCGCGCTACCCCGATTTGGCAAGTGAACCACCTCACTTCCTTACTGGTGGCCTGGACTCTCACTCACTCTCTTTCTCGCTCGCTCGCTCGCTCCCTCTTCTTCCTCCTTCTTATGTCTCCTTTCTCTTGCCATCCTTCATACTGATCGATCTTGATGGTTCTTTCTTTCTTTTTTGCTTCTTTCTCCTCTGCGACTTGCACTCCTTAACTATTTTCCAATTTTACTATTTAACTACAAGTCTTACTTCAGCGGAGGGTTCTTTGATCCTTTCCCTCTGGTTTTCTATTACGCTTGCCTGGTTGCAGCGGCAAACCCCACACTCACCCTTTCTATCTTTGAACCTTCCCAAATCTCCCGGTCTTTGGAGGCTGTTGCCAGCAAGGGCCAGAAATTTTGACCTTTGGGTGAAAAAAAAGAAAAAAGAAAAAAAAGAAGGTCAAAAAAAAAAGCAAAAAAAGAAAAAAGAAAATTCAAAGAAACTTAGAAAAGAACAAACAATCACTCGATTCCCCTTGACTAGGGTATTTATACACTTTGACTTTTTTTTTCCCTCTCTTTTCCCTTTTCATTTTACATTTTCTTCTTTTTTTTTTGGCTTTTCTAAATCCAATCTTACTGGAAGGTCGAGACACGAAACCGTCGTTTGACTCAGCTTTAGGGATAGTTAACGTACCACTATCTCCACTCCACTCCTTAGCTGCTCGCTTGCGCCATCCATCCCGCATCGGTCCACCGGCTCGCATTCTGTAATCCATGCTCGACAGGATTCTTGTACAACCACATCTATTGCCTCTGTCGACTCATTCCCATCGTTAGTCTGCTGCGCAGATTTGAACGATCTTCCCTATACAGCTGTCGGTGTTTCCCCGCACGGTCCCAGTCGACCGGCAGTCGGAATGGCGGAGACCGCAGTCATGACAAGCGGTCCTATCGCCGAGGACAATATCATCAACCGCCGCGGCGGTGAGTCGATATATCAAAGCTGCGTCAATCTCAAAAAGCGCCTCGCGGAACTCCCGGATTTCGAATCGCACTTACGAGAGATGGATGAAGAGGATCTCGCACAGGGAAACACCGACCCTGTGGCGTCGCTATGGAATTGCCTCCGGGAAGGGTACCCCTTGTTGACCATCTACAACGCCTCAAGCCCTGAGGAGGTCCTCGAGGTCGATCCTGAAAAGGTCCCCGAAGCAAAACGTCCCAAGGCTGCCACCTTCAAATTCCTACAGGCATCTCTGAAAGAGTTGGGCTTTCCGCAACAAGACTGCTTCCTAATCACCGACTTGTATGGTGAGAGCACAACCGGCTTTATCAAAGTGATCAAGATGGTGAATCGTGTGTTGGATATTCTAGAAATGCAGGGTCAGCTGAAGCGAACGTCCGATGTCTCATCCCGCGCCCCGGAAAAAGGAACTGTGAAGCTTACCAAGAGAGAGCACATTCTTAAGGAGTTGTTGGAGACGGAGCGCGACTATGTTCACCATCTTCAAAATCTACAAGCACTCAAGAAAGAACTGGAGGAGACTGGGGCTCTTACCGGCGACCCTAGTCATCAGATCTTTTTAAATTTGAACAATCTCCTTGATTTCGCCCAACGATTCTTGATTCGTATTGAGCAGCATTATGCCTTGCCGGAAGAGAGGCAAAACTGGGGCGAGTTGTTTATCCAACACGAGGATGCTTTCCGGCAGTATGAACCGTTTATCGCGAACCAATTGCGTTGTGACGAAGTCTGCCTAAAGGAATGGGACAGAATCCATACAGCCCCTAGGACTATTGACTTGAAGCAGATGGTGGCTCAACCCTCAACGCTTAATGGGTTCTTTGTCAAGCCTTTCCAGCGACTGACCAAATATCCTTTGATGCTTTCCGTGGGTATTCTATGTCATCCATCGTCGGTCGTGAGTACTAAATCTGTTCAGGAACTCCGCAAACAGACTGAAAATCCAGAGTTGCAGATGGACATTACCCGTGCCATCGACTCCATTCAGTCTGTCCTTGATTCTGCAAACGATGCTATCGACAAAGAACACCTGGCCTCGGCATTCACAGAGCTAGACGAACGAGTAGACGATTGGAAGTCACTCAAAATAGAATCGTTTGGTGACTTGCTCCGTTTCGGCACATTCACCGTTTTGAAGGGAGACAATGGCAAGGACTCGGAAAGAGAGGTTTGTCCCCTCCCAGATACTGTTTTGATATTTCCAGCCCATCCATACTTCCCAATTTGCCTTATTACGGCTAGCAAAGAACAGCCATGTTAGCCAGAAGGTTGACAGGTACATGGTCGATTTATAACTGGCTACAACCACGCCCAGAGATCGGAACAACCCACCCCTCATCATTTGGTCAGGCCCATGTGCCCAGACCTAACTTCAAAGATCTCTTCGGGACCTACAAAAGAAAAAGATTACACCGTGGAGCATATGATTTCTGACTTTTCCCTTTTTCCGAGTCTAGTACCACATCTACCTTTTCGAACGCATCCTTCTCTGCTGCAAAGATATCAATCCGAACAAACAGAAAACGAAATTGATTGTGGGCAAAGATAAACCAGCTACTACTGTGAAAGGAAAACCACGCTTGCAGCTTAAGGGTCGCATTTACATGGCAAACGTGACGGATATAGCTTGCTATCAGAAGCCAGGTACGGGGCTGTTTCCGGTTCCCAGAAGACTTGTGTGCTGGGTTGACACTGTTTTACAGGCTCTTATCGTATTCAAATCTTTTGGAAAGGTGACCCAGGCGTAGTTGACAATTTTATCATACGCTATCAAAATGAAGATGCCATGCGCAAATGGTACAGGGACATTGACAACCAACGAGCAATTCAAGCAGAACACCGCAGCGCACGGAACACCGGTACATCCGAGACAGAATTTACGTACATGAGAAATATGGCGAACATGCCCAACCCTTACCTTGAACATGATGCCGATGACCAAGGAACTAAAGAGGCTGGCTTCTTCTCCGAATTTCCTATGAGCCGGAATGCATCAAGCACTAGTCTCCGGACGCGATCCGCAACAGGTGGTAGTGGTGGTTCTGGCCCGCCCCTGTCAAATAAGTTTCGCTTCCCTATGCCAGATCCGAACCTTTCCGTGCATACACAGTTCCCCGGTGGTAGTATGTCGCCAGCCGAGCGAAACGCTAATTCTTACTTTTCGCCTGTTGCCGAAACCCCATCCACAAGGTCGAGCTCGCAGTCTACTGCTGGTTATTCGTACGGCCGTCAGCCAACTCCAGGCAGTACATGGAACGAAGAGCCCAATCGGTATACCGCACCTGCATTATCTCGCGGCGTTTCTAGAGATGGCTCGAACTCGAATCCCTATTTCAGCGGTGCACCCAATGGGCGAGGCGCTCAGCGCCCTTCACTGCCTCCTATGTCTGGCACTTCTAACGGCATGGCGCAGCGGATGCGTTCTGCGAGTAGCCCGGATATACATCACCACAACCCTGAATCACGTCGGTACATGGGCGCACACACAATGCAGACAGTTGACAACGTGCCCGTTCCCCCGATCCCTGCTCATATGGCCAGCATGAAGGCGCCTGTTAATAGAAGCCAAGCCAATTCACCAACCAATACCGGTCTACCCAGCCGCAACGGAAATGCTATCAACGGACAACACGCGCACTTCCATGAACCCCAGTACTCTGAATCTCGAATGAATCAGCCTGTGTCAGATCAGCCCACATCCCCGCTGAGCCAAGAACCAGAGGAGGAACCTCTTATGCCGACCCAACTTAAAGCGAAGGTTAATTTCGATGATAACTACGTCACTCTAGTGATTGCCAGCAACATCATGTTCCGCTCCCTCACAGACCGAGTGGATGCGAAACTGGCCCGGTTCACCAATCGATCAATAGGCAGCAAGTCGGTCAGGTTACGCTACCGCGATGAGGACGGAGATTTCGTTACAATTGACAGCGATGAGGCCGTCCAGTTAGCGTTTATGGAATGGCGGGAGCAACATCGTGACATGCTTTCCAGAGGCCAAGTTGGAGAGATTCAACTCTATTGCCAAACAGTCGAGAACTAAACGCGATCTAACCGAGGCGGGGCGCTCTTTATCATGTTTTTACTATACTCTTTTTCTCTTCTCGTCTTCTTTACTTCACATATTATTATTTTTTCCCCTTCTGTTTTGCTGTTTGAAATTCCCCCTTTCGCTCTGGTTGTCTACGGAGATGGAAGGAAAAAGAAGGAGCGTCTATTTTAAGAAGTTGCCGGCGTTGTCATCAGGTTTTATACAACTCATTTCCAACTGGATTGGCTTGAGACTATTGAGGAGCCAGTGTTTCGTCCATGAACAAAGGGGAAGAGAAAGGGCTGGTTTCGTTTTTCCTTCATACTTTGTTTCTCTTTTCCATCTTCTATTCTCTTCATTTTTCTTCTTTTCTTCTAACATCTTTGGGGTGTTTTGCCGGAAGCCGATTTATGCATCTCTTCACCTTGACCATGTGCATTTTATCTGGAGCTCTCTTGTCGGGTGAGATGCTTATGACGACTGACTTTGTTTATTCTTGTTCGGGCCCCTTCCGTCCCTATCTGCGGGCAATGACTGCATGATGTACGTATACCGCTGTTCCAACGAACAGACCAATCTTCAGGTTATAAGAGATGAGATGTATAGTGAACTTGTATACCCAAGGCTGGCTCTTCTGTCGGACTTGGTCGCGGGTTTGAGCGCTATTTTGTGTTGAGCTTTCTGTGTTTCGGGTCGGTTTGGGTGGGTTGGTATAGACTAGGCGAATTGTTTAATTCTATGAGTTAATAGGAAAGATTTCCCCAGGGCATTGCATGCAAGCGCTCTCCATTCTATCCGTACGTACTAGTAGTACATAGTACATAGTATATACTCCGTATAAGTTGTAACTATAGCCATTCGGATAGTATCCGGAAGGAGCCCCACCGGCTTCTATCCCAACCCCCCTGGCCGGGACCCAATCCAGACCGTCGGCACCTCGACCGCTTGTTCAGACCCGATCGAAACGGACTTCCGTGCCGATACTCTTCCGTCAGAAAGGCTGAAAGTGAGTAGGGAATAATAATAGTAACAATAACGACAGGATAAGGGGCAATACTGTTTGTTCATGAGGCATTTCCAACCTTTGTTCAAGTGATGCGTTCAGTGCTGCCGGTGATCGAACCTCCAGAGGCGAATAGGAGCCCAACGGCCTTGGGACTATGTGTTTTATATTGAGGGATTATCACGTTGCGGGATATAATTTCGCCCTTTCTTTTTTGTTATTGGTTCGAACGTTAGCACTTTGGGGTTGGGCTAAGTCTCCAAAGTCAAAATTGGAAGGTGAACAAACAAGAGGGTGAGAGTGATGCCTGAGAGAGAGAGCCTTAAAAACCATTCAGCTTGCCGTGCTCTTTCTTTTCCTCTCTTGTCATATTTAACAGCGCTTGACGCGGTCGATACCCTGACAAACTGTCACCTATTTTGACGTCTCTTTTCTTTTCCCCTTAGTTTCTTTTTCTTCTACGTATAGATCGCACACATCCTTGGCGTCATTGGTTTATACTTACGAGAAAGCCAAGAAACGCATCAATCTGCTAAACTATTTTTATCCTCCGGATCAACTTTGATATTGTTGCTAAGCAGCAAATATGTCGTTCTCTGGCCGTCGTGTGAGCATTCTGCGCCCTTCCAACAGGCGATTCTCCCTAGGCAAGGAGTTATCGGAGAATGGTGCGTGGTTCTTTCTATGCAAGTTTTTGATTGGAGTTGCACGTTTGCGATCGACGGCGTTAAAAAAGAAGAGAGAGAGGAGAGAAAAACAGAAGAAAAAACCAATCAACCATAGCACACATTTTCACTGACAGACAAAACCTTTCTTCTTATACAGAACTCCGATCGGAAACCCATCGTCAATTCCGAAGCGCTCACGAAGGTCACCGTCCTCACGCCGGCCTCGATGCCTCGCGTGCCTCGACAGGTGTTGTCTGGTGTACGGAACGTGCGACAGAACACGGTTACGCAGAGAATCCGTCCGAATGGGCGAATCTGGGCCAAGGAGCCCCCGAAGCCGACGATGAGATCGAAGGCAGTTTCCCTCGCCCCACGAGCATTCCCATCACCTCTGCTGCGCGTGAGTACGGTCCCACGGCTGGTATCAAGCCTCTCCGCGCCGCTGTCGCTCGGTTGTACAATGAGCATTACCGCCAGGGCAAAGAGAGCCAGTATACTTGGGAGAATGTCTGCATTGTGCCCGGTGGACGTGCGGGTCTGATTCGAATTGCAGCCATTTTGGGCAATTCGTACCTTTCCTTCCCTATTCCCGACTACTCTGCGTACTCGGAGATGTTGACTTTGTTCAAGAATGTACGTGCAGGGTCACTGGTAGACTTTTGAGAAGTGCAGTCTGCAAACATGGTCCTTGATCTGTGTCGCGATAGCTCACAAACTATCTTTTAGATCGCACCCATCCCCATTCCCCTCTCCCAAAACGATCATTATCATATCCACCCCGACAAAATCGCCGAGGAAATTGCCCGTGGCACCCAGGTCCTCTTAACCTCGAACCCCCGTAACCCGACCGGACATTTCGTTTCCAGCGATGAGCTGGCTCGGATCCAAGACATCTGCAGGGATCGCGCGACGCTGATTTTGGATGAATTCTATGGAGGATACAACTACACCACCGACTGCGACGGCACAACTCTCAGTGGCGCTACGAATGTGGAGGATGTCAACCAGGACGGTGGGCCAACACTCAGAAGCTATAGATGACTTTTCTCATGCTAACCCTAACAGATGTGCTGCTCATCGACGGTCTCACCAAGCGTTTCCGCCTGCCTGGTTGGCGTATCGCCTGGATTGTCGGCCCCAAGGAATTCGTTGACGCCCTGGGCTCCGCTGGTTCCTACCTGGATGGAGGTGCCAACGTGCCCTTCCAGGAGGCTGCCATCCCCATGCTTGAGCCGTCCCTTGTACGCGCAGAGATGAAGGCTCTTCAGCACCATTTCCGTGAAAAGAGAGACTTTGTTGTGAAGCGTTTGACTGAGATTGGATTCCGTATCAAGGATATTCCCCAGGCCACCTTCTACATTTGGCTTGATCTGACTGCCTTGGAACCTCCTCTTCCCGCAGAGGCTAACATCTCTGACGGTCTGAATTTCTTCAACGCCCTTCTGACCGAGAAGGTTATTGTGGTGCCCGGTATTTTCTTCGACTTGAACCCTGCCAAGAGAAGAGACCTGTTTGACAGCCCCTGCCATCACTTCGTCCGTCTGAGTTACGGGCCTAAGATGGATGTACTGAAGAAGGGTCTGGACGGCATTGAAAGGGTTATCCGCCGGGCTCGTGGAGAGGCCCCCAACGCGCAATGGGAGGACGAGGTAGCAATTGCTGACGACTAAGCGATCAGTCATGAGCGGATCCATGCACGCACGCGCGCACACACACACACACATATATATAGAGAGAGAGAGAGAGATAGATTTATAGCTAGTATCTTATGAACAGAGGTCATTGTATATGCAAAACCTGCTTTGTTCTTTGTCTTCCTCTTTCTCTTCCTCATTTTCACCCTCCAATATGAAATGACAATGCTTTTGAATTTAACATCAATTGTCAATATAACACTCTCCACTATAGACACGGCCCCTTAATTTGGTTGTGACTCTGTCTTGCACGTGACCACATCCTCTCGGCCGGCCTCTCAGCCAGCGACCCCCCGTTGAACTAGATCATAGACAGTTGAGGCAGCGACGAGTTCAGGCTGCGATGCGCAATATGATGCGCTCGGTATTATGGCCTGGAATTTTTATCGCATCCTCAATTACACTATCTTTATCGTCCTCTCTGTCGTCCTCTTTTGCCTTATAGTGCTGACCCCAGCCGACGCGATCTACCAGTGCTACGTAACCTCTCGACTCACGAATATTTTTATCATTAGCGGTGGCTACATCGTGACTTTTATATTAGCGGCGCTGATATACGCAACCCGGATCTATACCAATCGCAGTGCCTTAGCAGGAATCCCCAAGGCATGGATCCCAATCGAGAAGGAAGATGTCGGAAAGAGTGTGAGACGACTGGTGGTTGAAGGTCTTGCTCGCAGCGCTATTATTGCTTATCAAGCTAGGCCGAGGGACACAGCTGCAGATGGTGATACCTTTGCCGACTACCCCATGCTCTTAATAGACCGCGACCGCCCCCCGTGGGGAACTGTAGAACATCCCGGATGGTCTTCTCCTGCATCCCCAGATTTGCCCGACCTGCCGTACCGAACGGTCCTCCAGGAGCTCCCGAATCTGATTGAAGCTAAAGCGGTCTCTCTCGCTCCCCCTGACCCCTTTTTGACAGCGACCCGCTCGTTTGATCCCTCGTCCCCTGGCGCCGAACAATCAATCCCGGACACACGAGTGGTAGACATCCTACGGCGACCGGTGTCGATGGGTCTGAGGGAATATTTGCAACATCTTACTAGCCTGAACGTCATCAAGCCGCCCGAGATTGGAGCAGAATTCATCGCACTATATGAACGCGCGCGCTTCTCGCCGCACGACCTTCACGAGATCGAATTTCGGGATCTGATGCACATATTTGCGGGGCTTTTAAGAGGGATGAAGTCGCTTGATACGCAAATTATGGACGATATATACGCTGAAAGCTCTCGCGCCGATAGCGAGTCTATCATTGGACCTTCAGACGAGGAAGGGGAGACTGATACGATGGATTTCCACGATGACAGCGACGCTTTCTCTCGGGGCCGGAGCAACAGTTTGCAACCTTCGAATGCATCGACATGGGAGGGCCGCTCCATTCACACTACATCGGGAAGGCAGAGCCATAGGTCCTTTGTTTGGTCCAGAAACGTTGACCAACATCGGTTGGCGACACCCCGAACTCCATCAATGCGATCGCTTAGGCGGGTACAGTCGAATGCGTCGGGCAGTTCAGGAGGGAGTGTTATTCGTTTGGTAAATACCCATGGGCCATCTGATTTGCCCTACGCGATTAATTTTGATAGAACGTGAAAGCTTTTGGGATAACCCAATTGGATTGCAATAGTGAAAACACACATGCCTTTCACTTATAATCAATAGACAAATGCAATAAATAACTATATATCTAGTGTATCACGTTGGTCTTTTGATTTTCCCGGTGCTATAGTAGTTACTAATATCTCTTCGTGGAATTTCAAGCGAATTGACCTGATTTGGAGGGGAGATTGATAATAGACAGCCAATCAAGTCAGGGGCTATTAGCAGCCTATCGGGCAGATCGGAAAGGATTCCGTCCTTGGCGTTGGTGATTGATAAGATCTGGTTTTCCAAAATGGTCTGTGTCACGACCAACTCTCTTTTTTTATTTCCTTTTTTGTTCTTTCCCCAGACACTCCCCCACACCATGCAGGCTCTCTGGAGACGCGGCACATCCCTCTTCTCAACACCATCGGGGTCTCCCAAAGACTCGGGGTCTGTCGAAGACTTCCGAACAGCTTCAAGTCCCGACAAGCTATTCACCAAGGTCGATCCCGCCGTTGACGGAGAAGAATGTCTCCACGACTGCGCTTCATGTACCGTCCGGTACCCGGCTAAGTTCGACGTAGACCAGGAAGATACGCTGTACGGAAATGTCAACGGATGGTCAACACACCTACTCGTCGCGACCGGGAAAACAGACTGGGTACGAGATGTAGCGGACGAACAGGGCAGTGTGATGGAAGCGATTGAGAAAGGGGGTCTCGAGCCTGGCAACGGGGTAAGTCTCGATTGACTGCTACTACCACTTCTTTTTACCCACTCAGTCATACTCCGTAGTCTAAGTACTAAGGAACCAAAATCAGAAATTGAAACTATCGGCCTCCAACATGCCCGTCCCGGACGAATACCACCACCACGACACAGGAAAGCAACCGACCACCGTCCTGCTCCTACCCAGCTTCACTATCGTCGACCACGTCACTCCGGCCCTGGCCCCCGACCTGATCAAATATATCGTCAATTCCGCACCCACAACCACCACCCCCCTGGAAGCTAGTCTCCCGGAGCCGATATCCGTTCCCGAATCAGAGGACCAAATACAGACACAACAACCCCCACCCATCTCAGATCTCCTATCGCAGACTCCTCTCCGCTCGCGCCCCTGTCCTCACGCTGCGGTGATCCTCCTCTGTTCTCAGCGTACGCGAGACGCCCGCTGCGGTCAGTCTGCGCCGCTCCTCCGCAAAGAATTCGAACGCCACCTGCGCCCGCTAGGACTGTACCGCGATCTTGACGACCAGCGACCCGGTGGTGTCGGCATCTACTTCATCAGCCATGTTGGGGGTCACAAGTATTCTGCGAACGTGATTGTGTACCGCCGTCGCGATTTTGAGTGGTATCGCAAGCAGGACGGTAAAGAGGAGACATTGGCGAAGGGCGAGGAAGGTGCGACGCAGGGTATTTGGCTGGCGCGTGTTCGTCCAGAGGACTGTGAGAATATTATCCGGTATACGGTGTTGAAGGGAAAGGTGGTGAAGCCGGAACAGATTAGGGGAGGCTTTGACCGGGAACGGGGAGTGATCAGTTGGTAGTTGGGTTACTCTTGGTTTTGGTTGGCGGGCTTCCAGGACAGTACATACATACATCGGGTTATGGGTATGGATATAGATATGCGATGCCAGAAACATGTTCATTTGGAGGACAGTTGATTCATGGAGCTATGCGATTGGAAATTGTACACTATCGTGAACCAGTAGCATACCCCGATGACCTCAGCAGAGAGATTATATACTTCAATACGAATTCAGACCGACTACGAATGTTGGGCAATCTAGGATATATGAGCAAGGTCAAGGAACCAATTATCACGCCGAAGTGATATACCCCCGAGCACTTAAGGCAACGATGGGAACAGAAGAAGCATCACCCCTGCGCTTGGTACAGCCAATTCTCTTTCTGCCAGAGTCTACGCCAATGGGGCAAATAACTTTCACTGGATCCGGAGCGAAAGATTCGGTCAGTGAAAGAACAACCATCGTCGAATCCCTCATATCATGAGGAAGAATTCCTGACACCGTGCATTATCCCTGGAGTGAGGAAAAAAACAGAGGGATCCCAGGCAAACCAGATCGACAAGCACCACAGCAGCTAGACGGAGACACCGGGAGACAGAGAACAGGGATAGAGCTTGTTAGACGAGAAATCCCGACAGTGTCTCCTCCTGAGCAAATAGTTCAATGCCCGAAGCCCTTCTGAGTCGCAAGCATGGATCTCGTAGATCCATCATGTGCCATTTGTACCCAGCCTCTAGAATAAGTCTTGCTTGGTTTGCCGGGAATCTGTCTCTTCAACTGTTGTGTATTTGTTGCGCGTTTCTCGCGACCTGCCTTGGAGATCCATCATGTACTGATGGTGTTAGTCGCCATGGCGAGGTTAGCCTAGCTCTCCCTGTCTTCTGGGAAATTACTGCTTGAGGGCTATGCCAATTAGAGACATGGGACAGGAAATGGATCAACGGAGATTCTCGGTCAATGAAACGAGGTGGATATCGAGATCTGTTTAACTCCGTTAACACCTTCGAAATCTAGACACAAGATGTCAGCACATCGAGTTGGTTTTAGATAGAAACTAAACGAGGTGCTTGTCCTTGGCCTATTGCCCGGCACAGAGTATACCCGCTTGAATCTCGACGTGCCATCCGGTTCCCCAAGAGCCAGAATAAAAATTGTACGAGATGATAGAACGAAATGCTAGTTCCACCGTCCGGAGTCGTCGTGTATTTAGTTACCTGCCACATCAGGAAAATGGTCCATGGAAAAACACATCGTCCTTAGAAGCGACCGCGACGGAGACTAGTATTTGAGTCTATCATCCACAAGTACTCCGTAGTATGCCATTGACATTCGCCCCCCCGGAATGTATAACGCCTTCGTTTAAAATTACCCGAATTAGTAAAGTGGACATTTTTAGTTTTTTCTTGAATTGATGTAGTAGTACTTCATTCTAAGCCAGTAGTGACTGGATCTCCATTTGCCTACAAACAACGGGGCTCTATGGACGGATATGCGCCAGGTTGGACATTAACCTTAGAGGGTTTTACTCGAGGCAGATGATTCCGGCGTCTCGGAATGAAAAACTACCGAGGGAGATGATTTATCATTCATTAGCAAGATGAAGAACACGAGAGGACCAAGATAAAATGACTAATACTTCCTTTCTTATTGGCCAGTTGTTCACGCCTTCTTACATAAGACCAAGTGTCAATCCTCCCAAAGTTATCCCAGTTTAGAAAGTGTGGTAGGTGTCCACTGGACTTCGAGACGACGTGTGGGTGGGTGTGTGTGTGTGTGTGTTGTGTGTGTGGTGTGGCACTGTGTGCAGTACAGATTAGAAGTCGTAGAACATCGAACTAGGCTCACCTAGGGTAGTACTACTAAATTAGTCCCAAGCGTGCTGGAATACTACGGCACCAGTACGCCGTACGTAAAGGATCCACTTCCAGAGATACCAGGAGAAACAACAACGACCCTTTAAGAGCAAAGTCTTTGCACTCCAGTGGGCCCTCTATTATTGGTCCGCAGACACGAACTGGTTGGGCTGGGTTCTTGACCCACTTTGTCGGTGTTGATCTTCCATACCAATTTCAGCCCACAGAAGGAAATGAAAATGAAACTTGGACAACAAATGACTATCCACGGATAGTGTGAGTCTAGCATGTAGACCACCATTGTTCAAGATCTTTCCCACTAGGCCGAGAAAGGCAATTCTTGTTTCGGTGTGCTTGACTGACTGTATCATATTGAAAGCCTTTGACCCATGAGAGAGTTTATTCCGGTCAACCTTATTGGGTTCTTCCGTGGAGTTGGAGCTTGAGGTTGATTTGTGATGTATTCGTTGCATCTCGGTGAGTTTCCATTAGTTGGTGACCATATCTCACCTGGTAGATAGCGGGCGCTGTACGAAGTACATATACTTCTCTACCTGTGCGCTTCTCTGATATAGGCACGACATGCTACCAGGAAAAGATCATGGCCAGCTCAACGTAGTTCACAATCAGACTTCACCCCAGAGAAAAACAGTCACCGCCACAAGCCCCACAGCTAAAATGAGCCGTCATTCCCCACATGACAAGAGAAAGAATGTCGCGGATGAGAGGAAGAGGATAGGATGAGCCGCTAATTCCCCGATGGGCAGCATTCTGGCTGGTTTCTCGCGCGTCTGTCAATGGATTTGGCGCTCCACTGTCAGATAGACTGGTCTAGATAGGGAGATCATCCGGATGCTCGTCGTTAGTGACTCCGAAAGCAGAATAGGGCCTGATTCTTTCCAGGCCGTCAAGCTAGGTTGTGGGCGGGAGGTTGAAGGTGTTGCTTGTTATTCTCTCTGTAGCAGTAGATAAAATATGATAGTTCGTCAGGAGTTGGTAGCATGCGAGCGTTAGCTTTTAAGTCTGAGAGGTATAGCATGCTTTGATATACATACTTACAAGACAGGATCAATGATGCGTGTCTTGGTGATCCCTGACGGTATGATACAGGCCCGTACAGTACATGGGAGGCAAAAAAAAAAAGGCAACCAGCCATGAATCACCCGCAGCATGCATTCTATGGGGCAAAAGTCCCAATGAGGAGGCAACTGCAGGCAGTTAGGGAATTTTCTACGGGCGCCCGAACTGTTGGGAAACCTTACCACTCTAGTAGGGAACATCAAATTCAAAATAGGTAGGTGATGATGTTTGTACCATGGAACAGGGTGGGTTTTGCGAGGGTTCCCTTGAAGTCAGTTCTGCACCGGCCACTGTGTGTCCTGTCCTCTTTGTCGTAGATGCTGTCATGGCAGTGGTACGGTCTCTACTCGGACTCCTTGGTCCAAGCTCCTAAGCTACTTGGTTTCTTCTCTGAGTAGAAAATATGATATGACTGGTGGCCCTCTCTTAGTCACTTAGCTACCCCTGACCGCCGCGTTCAAATGCCTCGCGGGAAGGCCGATTCTGTTGCTCTGTGGAAGACCGGGATAACTTCCATTTTCCTCGCGAGATGGGGTATGTATATTCTTTCTGTTGGTTAGGTGAGGCTTCGGGTCCAGAGTGTGGCATGGGGATCCCTTTATTCGACACATATCGTTTTCGTGTATAGTCAGACTGAACCTAAACAGTGCCATAGAATACCTTGCTCTCTATATAAAGTATAGATTCACCATACACTGCGTCCATATTTACTTGGGACAGACCGTATTGTATCATGTTGTACCCACGGATAAGTAGTCCACGGCGGTTTATCAAAAGCAGGGTGAAAGAGTAGACGTATCAACCCCGCAGTCAAGACGCCAAGGTAGAGTACATGAGCCTAACAAAGACATTCATCTTGTGATGACCAGGGATTCTCTCTCGTCGTCGTCATCCAATGCAGTCATGGCTGCTAGATCCCGGTGTAATCCCCGATAGCTAGTGTGTTAGTGTGCTATTAGCTGCTTCATCTCGGTACCAAAGCTCGACTAAAAGGAGGATATCGGGACCAGCAACTTAGTGCAGAGACTAAGTGGCTCCGACTCAAGTAGGAATCTAGGAGCTCCTGTTCTGTTGTAACAGATGGGGGCTCCTCCGTCCTCGGTAATTTCACAGGGACTAGCTAACTAAAATTGGCCCGCATTAGTCATCTCCCCTGATCGAATGAGTGGGTAGAACCCGACTAGATAGTAAGAAAAGTGGAATAGCCGCTCGGAAACTAAGGTTCTCGCCTCGGAAACATTATCCACGATGATCTGATTGCTCGCTTTCCGACGCGTTGTGCCCCTTTACTTTCCAGGGATTGCTCTTACCTTGATTTTACACTCTGTAGTTGTGGCCTGACTAAAGGGAAAACCGGTTAATGATGCAGGTATGTAGGGTCAATCGTTCTTCGACATGCAGGTGGCGGTGGCATCGAACCTGTGTTGTTCAAGAAGTTTGACGGCCTTTCGTCCAGGAGCACTAGCTCGCGTTAGTTCTATACATGTCGAGATGTTCAGAGACCTGAATGGACCTGCCTTCACACGCTATCTGAGTGGAGTCACCGACCGTTCCGACTGTCGATCCTTGGCTGACGTTGGCAGTAAGTGGGACTAACTCTCAAGACGAGTCTAGGATTACCATCAACCATCCCAATAAGATGAAAAGCCCACTACCTAGCCACTGACTGGTAGGACTTTACTTCTATGTCGTGCTTCCAGGCTTCAGCACGTTAGTTGTGAGTTGGTAGTTAGTAGTACTAGTATTTGTGTGCAAAAGGGCAAAACATGCAATGGCAGGCGGGGTTCCTAATTGCTGCCTTAGGCACATATCAGATGCTCGTCCAGAAGAGGGAGATTTCTCGAATTAGTTAGACCTCAGTACGTAAATACACTAGACCCATCCCCATCTCCGTGGACAATGGCGAAATCTCCAGCCCCAGTCCACAGCAAAATTGACAATGTAGACTATCACATATCACAAAGATTGCCCAAAAATCATCTTAGGTATCAAGTATCACAAACGCCTCACCCTAGCCTTTTAAACAGGGGGAATCAATCCAAAAAGTCGCAGAGGCTGCAAGAAATGGAAGCAGAAATGAGCAGTGATATCATCGGTCACAAAGACTGCAGCACAAAAAAAAAACATAACCAAAAATCAACTCGTATATGGAAAAACGAAATGAACAACCTGCCCAAATCGAAACGCTCGTAAGTCTGTCGTTATAGGCATCACACGATACAGTTAGTATCATGGTCCCTGTCTGGAACAGTATCGAAGTACACTGAAAAGTTCTGCTGGCCTCATGGCGATTCTCCGAAAGGGTCGAACACAATGGCCGCAAAAGATGCTAGTGGTTACATTGGTGGCTTGGGCGAGCCCATAGTACTACTTAACCTACTCCTAAGAAGCCCCAGTCGGTTCCCTCGGGTTGGTTAAGAATGCGAGTTTGGTGTTGCTTATATTGGAAATTATGGGGATAGGTGACCATCAGCGGGTGGCCTTCCATAGTGGGAACACCGGGAAAGGGTTGCTGAAATTCCGGAGGAATACTGTACCCCTGACGGCTTGGGTCATACCGCTGTTGCATGAGTTGCATGTATTGCTGTTGCGCTTGGTGTACATCGACGGGTGATGTTACCGGTACACTCTGAGTTACGATCGGCGGCGCATCTTGCACAGGAACAGGCGTTATTGGGAGACTCGTTGGTGGATAGAAATCATGAGATGGAGTTTGCGCGTGGGGGTAGTAGGGCTGTTGAGCAAGGAGATATTGGTCGTTCGGTACTGAGGCGGGGACGGGTGTCTGGTAGGAATGTTCGGAAGTCGCATCCTCGGATGGTGGGCGAGTTACTGTGCCTGGAGGGTGTGAACGGTGCTGGTGCTTAGTGAGTGTCGTTTTCCTACAAAAGCTAAATGGGATCATTAGCGCTCAGGCCATCTGAACGGGCAAATTACGATTTTACCTTCGCTCGCATGTTGGTTCCTGACAGATATATGGCCGCTTTCCCGTGTGAATCCTCCGGTGGCGGGCTAAACTTGAGGACTGCGCCGCGTCAGCATTTCTCTCATAGTCAAACAGGATTTTGAAGTCAAGGCCTACGTCGGAAAATGCTTTGTGGCATCCTTCATGATCGCAAACATGAGGCTTCTCCCCAGTATGCGTTCGCGAATGGACAGTCAACGCACTCCGTTGAATAAAACTCTTGTTGCAATCTTTCACCGTACAGTGGTAAGGCCGTTCGTTGGTATGTATGCGATAGTGTCGGCAAAGATCCGATTTGCGATTGAATGACTACTTGGATTATCAGTACGATTGGGTCACTATAAGAAAGGGGAAGGGATGGGAAGAGCTGGAAAATAAATTCACCTTTCCACAATGCTCCCAGGAGCAGCTGAAGTCTCGTCCACCGCCAGGTGCCATAGCTGTAGCGGTCTAAGGCGTGGATATTCAAGACTATCTTGAGATGCGGGACAATCGCCGATAGGGACAGCGGGGAGCGGACAGCGGTGGGGATACCGGGACACAAGATGAACAAACAACGATAGATATAAGTGGACAAGACAATTGGAGGTGGATATAGCACAAGAGGATCAAACGGCAAGGGGGAGTGTGAAATACAATCCAAAGAAAAACAAACGAAATCAAGGCATCGAAGGCGTCGAAATGTAATCCAAACGAATAACTACATAGACAACAACTTAGAAGGAGGGGGGTGGGAAAGGAAAATGGAGACGATGGAGTAGATAGATAAAAACAGCTTCTCGGGAGTGGAAAACTAGTGGATCGAAAAGCGAGACGGAAAGGGAGGACGTAAAAGAGAAAGAGAAAGACCGGGAGAGGAGTCAAATCTCGATTAAGTGGAGAGTGTCACAGAAATTAAATCCGAGAAGGCATGCAGCAGCTTTTTCGATGACTGGGGGAGGTTCTGGCCAACGAGTCACAGGAAGGCCGATGGATCGAATTGGGAAAAGCAACCGCAGTCGCTGATTTGAGGCTGGAGCATAATACTTATAATAATTATAATAATAATAATAAATTGAATATTTATAATTATTATTATTATTATAAGCAGTCCCGGCAATATAGGAAGAAGTCGTAGTAGTAAGTCGTACTAGAACCAACCCACTGGTAAGTTTGATTTCGGGTAGGTAGGGAGGAGTACCTGAATATAGAAGAGGTCACAATAATCCCGACTATAATCAAATATAGACTGGGAGACACCAGAGTCAAAGATCAGACAGACAGGAGAAAGGAAATAAAACAAAAGTAGTAATATAATTTTGAAAAAATAAAGATAAAATAAAAATAAAAGTAAAAAAAAAAAAAAAAAAAAA